CACAGAACCCACAGATGCCAGCAAAACCTCAGTACCCTCAGCCTCCTCAGAACCCTCAAACACCTTCAAAGCCCCAGTACCCTCAGCCTCTGCAATATCCTCAGTTTCCTAAGTACCCTCAGGTTCCCCAATACTCCCAGTCTCATAAAAACCTTCAGGTTCCCCAGTATCCTCAACTTCCTCAGAACCCTCAGACACCAACAATGCCTGAGTACCCTCAGCCTCCTCAGAACCCTCAAACACATTCAAAGCCTCAATACCCTCAGCCTCCCCAGTACCCCGAGCCCCCTAAATACCCTCAGGCTCCCCAGTACCCTCAACTTTCTCAGAACCCTCAGATACCTTCAAAGCCTCAATACACTCAGCCTCCTCATTACCCACAATCTCCTAAATACTCTCAGGCTCCCCAGTATCCTCAACTCCCTCAGAACCCTCAAACACCTTCCACACCTAAATACCCTCAGCCTCCTCAAAATCCACAACTTCCTCAAAGCCCTCAGACACCTACAAAACCTGAGAACCCTCAGCCTCCTCAATACCCTCAACTTCCTCAGAGTCCTCAGACATCAACAAAGCCTAAATACCCTCTGCCTCCCCAGTACCCCCAGCCTCCTCAGTACCCTCAACTTCCTCAGAACCCTCAGATCCCAACAAAGCCTCAGTACCCTCAGTCTCTTCAGAACCCTCAAACACCTTCATTGTCTCAATACCCTCAAACTCCTCAGTACCCTCAACTTCATCAAAGCCCTCAGACACCAACAAAGACTGATAACTCTCAACCTCTTCAATACCCTCAGCCTCCCCAGCACCCTCAACCTCCTCAGAACCCTCAATATCCTCAGCCACCTCAATATCCTCCTCCTCCTCAGTACCCTCAAACTCCAAAATTACCACCACTTTATCAAAATTCAGAGACACAAACAAAGTCCCAGCCTCCTCAAATGCCAACAAAGCCTCAGTACCCTCAGCCTCCCCAGTACCCCCCACCTCCTCAGTACATTCAAGTTCCCCAGAACCCTTCAACACCTTCAAAGCCTCAATACCCTCAAGTTTCTCAGTATCCTCAAACTCCTCAGAACCCTCAGATGCCATCAAATCCTCAACAGCCTCAGTACCCCCAGCCTCCTCAGTACTCTCAACTTCCCCAGAACCCTTCAACACCTTCAAAGCCTCAGTACCCTCAAGCTCCTCAATACCCCCCAACTCCTCAGAACCCTCAGATTCCATCAAAGCCTCAGCAACCCCAGTCTCCTCAGTACCCCCAGACACCTCAGTATCCTCAAAATCCTCAAGCACCTTCAAAATCTCAATACCTTCAACCTTTAACACCTCCTCAGCCTCCTAATTACCCTAATATTCAACCACTTACAAAACCAACATCCCAAACAACACAGACCTCTTCAATGCCAAGTCTTTCTAATATATGTGATATAGAAACAAATGTGAGAATTCCATGTGGACTTCCTGATATCTCTGCTGCAGACTGTGAGGCTAGAGACTGCTGTTTTGATGGGCAATCTTGCTATTTTGGAAAAGGAGGTAAGTGAAGTGGTTGTTGATCTTACTAAAAACACTTTTTGAGGGGTTTAACCAGTTTAAAATCTTACAGAACTAATGAAGTACACAAAACCTTGTTAATCCTTGTGTGCTGTTAAAATTGGACAAAAGTATGTTTTAATTTACCATAGTCTATGTTTTTCACCAGTGACAGTCCAGTGTACCAAGGATGGACAGTTCATTGTTGTGGTGGCCAAAGACGTTACTATACCCAATATTGACTTGGAATCAATCTCATTTTTGGGTGAAGGTCAAGGTTGTACATACGTCGACTCAAATTCAGTTTTTACCATCTACTTTTTTCCTGTTACTGCCTGCGGCACTGTTGTCATGGTAATTTCTTAATCTGCTTCAGTTTCTCAAACGTTATGCGATTTTCAAAAGCCACTAACCTACTTAACCTTACAAACTTTTTGTAGGAGGAGCCTGATGCTGTAATCTATCAAAACATTATGATGTCTTCGCTTGAAATACAAGTTGAGCCTGATGGTACAATTACCAGGGACAGCTCCTATGTGTAGGTAAACATTGAAAGAAGGTGATGTTTTAAGAAAAGTGTAGACTATGCAGCATCGCAAACATTCTCTTTTTTCAGGTTGTTCTTCCAGTGTAAGTACTATGCTAGCTCAGTTGAAAGCATGGTTGTTGAGGTGTCGCCACTTCCAAATCCTCTTCAAGTTGCTGCTCTTGGTCCCATCAGTATCATAATGAGGCTGGCTAACGGCCAGTGCATGACCAAGGGTTGTAATGAAGGTCAGTACGTCCCAACCAAGCAGATATGATATGTTTGTTAATCGTTTCACAATGTTTGATAAACAACTGGTATCTTTGGTCCCACAGTGACGGCTGCATACACCTCCTACTACACTGACGCAGACTACCCTGTGACCAAAATACTGAGGGATCCAGTTTATGTGGAAGTTCAGCTCCTTGAAAAGACAGATCCTGCACTTGTTCTGACTCTTGGACGCTGTTGGGCAACCGCAAGCCCCGAGCCACACAGCCTCCCCCAATGGGACATTCTGGTTAATGGGTAACTAAAACACCTGTTTACACTAATGTATTTATCGTGATATACTGATTCTTCCTTAACCACACACACATACAATATTAAACATTAAATATTATCTTATTATAATACTTACCAATAATATCAATACTTTTTAAACAATTTCAGAAATCCCAGAAAGGTTTTTAATGAGCCAAACATTATAAAGCTGATGAATATTGTGTTTTGTAGTAGAAGTACAACATATTTACAATTTTGACATCACATAATCATAAAATTGTGTGCTGAAGCTAATTGCTACTAAAAATGTAACAAAAGTGTCACTTACATGATTTTATGGTATCTATAACTTAGAATTTTGTCTGTTCTACATTTAGATGTCCATATGCAGATGATCGTTACCTCGCCTCACTGGTTCCAGTGGATGCCTCCTCTGGTCTGGACTTTCCAACTCACTATCGGCGATTTATTTTCAAAATGTTTACCTTTGTAGAATACAATATGGAACCCTTAAGGGAAAAGGTAATGGACATAGTGGTCTGCATAAAAATCTCTTAACAGAATTGTTCTACGTAGATTTTCAGTCAAAAAATGTGTTTCCTGTTTAGATGTACATTCACTGCAGCACAGCAGTGTGCGTGCCAGGACAGGGGGACAGCTGTGAACCATCCTGCTACAGAAAAGCAAGTAAGTAAATATAGATATTTTTTAATATGTAAAAACGTAGAAAAGGTTCATAAACCTGACCATGTCTGTATGCCTGTCTGCAGAGAGAGACACGGAGTCCGCAGAGAAGACTAAACCAAAGGTCGTAGTTTCATCTGGAGAAATTATCATCACTGCACCTAAGCAGTAAACTAGGACATGCTTAAAGAATCAGCTGAAGACATTTGAAGAATTTATTTGAAACAATAATATGCTGGAGTTATTTTATTAGTTGCATGAAATTAAAATGACATTTGCTCAATAATCCAGTGTGTGCAGCAGAAAGAACGTGTGTAATGAGTTTTATATTAAACTTTCAGTTTTGATGTTTATATTTTTTGTTTGCTGTTTCCATTTAAATTTTTTTGAATAAATGGTTTAAAATATGACATGAAACGCCTGCAGAAATGTTATTAACTAGCTGTTTTTGTTTCATTTTTTTCAATACCATTTTCTTTCGTTTTCAATTTATATGGTATCTTTTATGATTGACTACTGTTGTCTTTGTTGTCATCACTTTGTTAAAAAAAATCAGGTCTCTCTTGTAAATGAGTTCCCAAAGCTCAATGGGATTAACCTGTATAAATAAAGGTTGAATGAAAAAAAAAATACTGTAAAAAGAAATCTTGTGACATCCATATGAAGTATTTAGCAAATACTTCAGTGTTAGATTAGTAGGTTAAATGTTTACAAATGAACATTTTAATAAGTTCAAAAATAAATCCTTATTACATTTTGCAGAATAATGGCTTTAATAACACAAGAAACTACAAAATAATTATGTCCAAAACTAAAAAATACCCACTGAAGTCTGAAGTTTCATTGCTTTATTTGAATAAGCTTATTTTTTATATATAAAGGAGTGAGAAGGAATGAATACAATTAGGAAACATGTTCACTACAATAAATCATAGGTGTACAGAGAGAATATTTAATGTAATAAAAATATTCAAAAGCAGGAAAAGTTTTTTGGTAAGCTGAGAAAATAAGATGGCAACACTAAATCAGAGAAACCTATTGAAATGAAACCTAAAAAACATGTACACTTATTTGACCACAAAAACTTTTCATACAATGGTTTTGATCAGGGATGTCACGTTTACTTCAGAACAAACTGGAAAAATAAAAAATAAAAGTCTCACTGGACCTTTGACAGTGTTTCAGTTCGAAGTGAAATACTTGTAGGAAACCCCTCCAGGTATAGATCATCACTGATTGTCATGCAATAAACTTTCACATCTCTCTCTGGTGTGCTTCGCTGGAATATAATTCTTGGACACATAATTGAATGAACGCACATTTCTAATCAGTAACCTAAAACCAACACCAAAAACTTGGATACTGAACTTAAAGGTCCTTTGCAGCTCTTTTCTTTGCTCACCGAAGCAGAAACGATCAGTCTGAGCTGTTCATCTCAGCTGCGTGTTCATCCCCTCCACCCCCCCTCCATCAGTCAGATTTGTCCTTCTTTTTGCTGCCACCTATGGGAACTTTGCTGACCACTGCAGATCCAACAGCAGTCACTCCTCCAGCTACAGCACACACTCCCCCTTTCACCAGCCCCACTCCAGCTGCAGGCACAGCAGCTACAGTGCACACAGCTGTCTTGGTAAGGTCCAGGCTCTTTCCTCCTATCCAGGTCACACCCCCCACCGTGGCTTTTGTGGCTCCATACAACCCCCCGGCCAACCGGCTGAACATGCCCGGTTGTGTCTGTGGGCGGTCCTTGTCTGTGTCTGATTTAAAACAACAAAAGCAACAATTTTAAATTCAACATATGAACGTTCACAACAGAAAGTGCATTAGATAACATTTATTTTATATTTTGACACCTTAGTACTTGTGCAGCAGAAGAAAAAGCTAAGAAAAGTTTGATAATAACAAATATGGGTCAACACATGAAGACGTTTAAATCTGGAGAGGTGAAAAATACAAATGTACACATCTATGACAGATCATAGCACATGGAACAGGCAGTGTAAAAACACACGCAGTAAGAAAAGGAAATAAACAAAATGACCCGGACACTAAAACCTGAATATGGTGTTGTGTTTGTGTTGATATTAATCAAGCCTGTCTGTGTACGTTACTGAGACATGAATGCAACTACTGTATGTCACTAGAACATGTTGTTTAAGTTTCACATATTTCAAGCACATTTATTTTTAAACCAAGTGCAATACTGAACTCTCAGCCACAATTTTGAGTCGACATTTAGTAAAATGGAAATAACTGAATGCAATGTTTTCCTAATCTCATAACCCAGATTTTGTTCACAGTGGAACACAGTAAACGTATCAAATGTTAAATGAAAAGAAGTGTACCTTTAAAAAAATAATAGGTCATTTTGAATTTTATGGTAGCAACATATCTCACAAAAGTTGGGAAAAGAGCAATAAAAGGCTGCAAGAGTTAAGTGAATCTAATGAGAAATAGCTGTTGTTGCATTTAGCAACAAATAGGGTTAACAGGCAATAAATGGTAAGAAAACTGGTAATAAAAGTTTTTAAAAGAGGCTAAATCTCTCAGACGTAAAGATGGACCGATATGTAAAAAACTGTGCCTAAAAAAGTGGAACAATTTCAGAATAATGTTCCTCAATTGAAAATTGAGAACGCTTTAAATATCCCATCACCTACAGTTCATAATATTGTCAAATATGGAGAAATCTCTCCCTGTGATGGACTCGTGACCCGTCCTGGGTGTCCCTCGCAACTCGCAGTGATAGCTGGACATGGGCACCAGTGAACCCCGTGACTCGTAAAGGAAGAAGCAGGTATAGATAATGGGATGGATGTCTGAGCTCAAAGCCAAGACTTAAAGTCAACTAGATGTCTGTGGTTTTCAAGCAGTACTGCTTTAAAAACAGATCCTCTCACCATTTCTGTTCACCCTCTGCACCTGGGACTTCAGGTACAACTCACAAGTCTGCCATCTGCAGAAGTTCTCAGATGACTCTGTCATTGTGGGCTGCATCAGTGGTGACCAGGAAGCTGAATACAGAGGTGTGGTGGACAGAATCACCTGCAACTCAACGCTGGAAAAACTAAAGAGCTGCAGGTGGACTACAGGAAGATCAGCCCACCAACCCTATCAACATCAAGGGTACTAAGGTGGACACTGTGGACTGCTACAAGTACCTGGGGTTCACCTAGACAATAAACTGGACTGGACAGCTAACACCAACACCTTCTACAAGAAAGAGCAGAGTCGTCTTTTTCTTCTGAGGAGACTCAGGTCCTTTAACATCTGCAGGACCATGCTGCAGATGTTTTACCACTCGGTGGTCTTCAGTGTCTTCTTCTATGCTGTGGTGTTCTGGGGCAGCAGGGTGAAGAAAGCTGATGCCAACAGACTCGATAAACTCATCAGAAGAGCTGTCTCAGTTCTGGGAGTGGACCTGCAGTCTCTGACAGAGGTGTCTGAGCAGAGGATGCTGAGGAAACTGCTCCAGATCCTGAACAACACATCACACCCCCTGCATGACACCCTGGACTCTTCCTGCAGCACCTTCAGCCGTGGACTGAGACCACCGAGGTGCTCCACAGAACATCACAGGAAGTCCTTCCTCCCTGTGGCTATCAAACTTTTCAACTCCTCCCCCTCTCTGCACAGAGGACAATAAAATTAATCCTGCACCACAATAAACTCTTTAATGTTTCTGTTTGCACCTGACCTGTTTTAGACCTTAATTGTTGGTATTCTTATATTCTGTTATTTTTATATTCTTTTTTTTATTTTTTTATCTTGTGTGATACCTTGTGGATGTTCCTTTGTACTGAAACTCAGGCACAACAATTTCCTGCGGGATCAATAAACTTCTATATTATCTTATCTTACAAATCATTGTCTGTAGACCCAGTTTGCTGTGCTGCCCCAGAAATTATGGTTAAAACTCTATCATGCAAAGAAGAAGCCATACAGTATGTGAGCACCATTCAGAAATGTCTCTGTCTTAAGCTCATTTAAAATAAAGTGGAAAATTGTTTTGAAGCCAGACAAAATGGTTTTTTTGGGGTTGAATATCAGATACCACTGATGCCATTTCTATAATAAAGAGGAGATGAACCACCTAGGCTGTAATCAGTGCACAGTACAAAAAGCAAGCCTCTCTGATGGTGTGGGGGTGCATTAGTTCCTCTGGCATAGGCAGTTTACACATCTGGAAAGGCATCGTCAATGCAGAAAAGTGTGTACAAGATTTAAAACATCTACTCCCCTCCGGCAACCTAACCCAGAACTGTTGAACAGCTAAAATCCTACACGAGACAAGAATGGGACAACATTCTTCTCCAAAAACAAGCAGCTCGATCGGTTCCTAGACAAACGTCTAGAAACTGCTGACTGTTGGTAAAAGAAGAGGAGATGCTTCATGACCTTGTCCTCACGTTTTAAGTGTTGCTGCCATCTTTCTTAGTTTAAACTTTTGTTTTTTACTTAAACTTTTTTTTTTTTGTTCCACAGTGACTAAAACACGGCTTTATGAAGATTGCAAATCATTGCGTTCTGTTTTTGTATACATTTAACATGTCCCAACATTTTGGGAATTTGGGTTGTACATAGTTAGAAAAGCAATTGTACTATTCTACACACAGACACAGTCACGCACATTTAAAAGCCACTTTGTGTCAAAACATTGACATAAAAACTTGCCCTTGTCAAATGCCCTTGGAGCTGAGATTACCTGTTGCTACTGGCTCATCTTCGTGGTATGCAGGCACGTCCTCGGGCACCTGCTCCGCCTGACTCATCTGAGAAGAAGAGTAACACCATTATCAAGATGACACCAAGAACCACAGCGTGGAATTACAATTACAGCCAGAGATCCTCGCTCTACACGATATAAACAGTTAAAAGTAGGATTGTAACAGGTGTTTGCTGCGTACACAAACCTGGTGATTACATCCTGAAATGAACAAACATGAGACGTGGTATTACAGTGTCACACTAAGCACCCCGTCGCTGCTGACAGAAGAATTGGGGCGTAAACAGAAGGGTTACTAATAAAATACACCTAAATCATAAATCATGAGCGTCTCTCTAAAAAGACAAGTTTTGTTAGTTTGGAGGACTTTGGTGTGTGTTAGCACAATATTACGGAGAAAAGACCTCAGCAGTTATTTTGGAGAAAGAAATGTTCTTGAAGAAAAACCATGCACAAGATGAAGACATTCGATAACGTCAAAATGTAGCCAATCAAATTTTCTAGAGATGCACAATATTAGCGTCATGGTCTCGGCCAATATTAGCGATAAAGTTCAATATTGGACATGGACCGTTCCATCTAAAATAACTCACCGATATAAAAGACTGTTTTTGTATGACAACCCAGTGACGAGGATGCCTGCAGCGGCAGCACATGATGACGTCACGCGTGCCTACCCGATCACACGGAGGAGAGGAAGTTTTTTTTCATTGGTGAGGATGTCGGATTCTGAAGATTCTTGGACTACGTTGAGCCACGCTACATCGTCCCCAGACAGAGATATTTTTCCAGCGTAACCTTACCAGCGTTACAAGCCGTCATTTCCGACGTCATTGAGAAGCTAATAGCCGATAGCACTTGGGTGAGTTTTACCACAGACATTTGGACGCACCTGGGATACACCAGGTGGAGCAGTGGGTAAGCACCCAGGGAGCAATTCAGGATTGGGTGTCCTGCTCAAAGACACCACAAGATGTGCAATGACCGGAGATCGAACCTAGGACCTTCGGGTCCCGAGTTGGTTGCCCTACCCCTACACCATCGCTGCCCCTAATGCGAATAAATAACATTTAACACTTTTTATTTAATATAAGTTAAAGTGCTATGCATATCATATGGCTGTTACTGAATATATGTCACCAGCTCTTACAGCTGTTACACAATTTTGTAGCAAATAAGCCTAAATAAGAGAGAGGGTTATGTTCTGACAAAGGAAAGTATATAAAATATCAGTATCGGTTATCGGCCAAATAAGTTTTAACATATTGGCATATCGGCCAAAAATCCAATATTGTGCATCCCTAAAATTGACTAAAAGGACAAACAGTGCAATGCTAAGAGAAACGCACAACTCTTACATGTGCTCAAGTTGATGACAGTGGTATAAAAAAAAAAAACAACTAACCGTTTGGCCACAACGCAAAATCAAAACCCAAGCAGCATGTTGACACAAACAACACATCCTAATTGTCAAGCACGGAGGTGGAGAGATGGTTTTTATATTTTTTTTTTAATGTAGCCACAAAACCTGGGCATTCTGTAGTCACCGAGTCAGTTTACGACCTTTAAGCATTTTAGAAAATAATGTGAAAGCATCCGTCCAATAATAACAACCTGAAGCTAGGCCCAAAATTGTGTCATACAATGCAACAATCCAGCAGCTAATCTAGAAAAGATTAAAAAAAAGAAGTAAGAATCAGGATGTTGAAGTGGTAAGACAAACGTCTTTGTAACCTGTCAGACTTTTCATCACTGCATACGTCTCTAACTGCAGTGAACTGAAGCAACAACGTAAAGAGGAGTGGGACAAAACACCACAGCAACGACCTGCGAGACTGACAGGGTCACCATGAACACTTTAAGCTATTGTTGCTAATAAATGTGGTTTGAAACGCTGCAGAGTATACTTAGTTCATTTCACACATTCTGATTCTGCAGTTTGGCTTCGTTTTAAAATGTAAAACTGTTCAACGTGTGACGTTCATGTGAGGCTGAACAGTACTGGGATCTCATACGATATAGATTGTTAAAATTCAAATCAATGACCATTAACACATAGATAAAACAGGTGATTTTATTTAGGACACACAGTTAACTTGAACTGAATGTCAATATTAAAACCAGATGGATGGGAGCTCAAAGTGTGAAGAAAATAAAGGAGTGTGCTCTCTGGGTGTGCACAAAAAAAAACAAGGCAGACCTGTTCACAGTCGAGCTGAACAACTGGTAAAAAATAAGACCATTCCAGACAAACTCACACCTAGCTTCTAGTTTAAAAGGATTTTCTTGGCACAGAAAGCAAAAAAAACTTTTAGGTTAACAACATATTGACAAGTGAAAAATGACGACTTGAAGGATCTTTCTCAGTTTTATTTTAAAGTTTGGTATTTAGATATATTACCTCTAATTTGTAGCTTCATAGAGTCAAAAGTTGTTTGTAATTCACAGCCTGATTTAAATAAATAAGTATTTGATACACTGTCGATTTTGCAAGTTTTCCAACCTACAAAGAACGGAGAGGTTTGTCATTTTTATCGTAGGTACACTTCAACTGTGAGAGACAGAATCCAAGAAAAAAAATCCAGAAAATCACGTTGTATGATTTTTAAATAATTTATTTGCATTTTACAGCATGAAACAAGTATTTGATAACTACTGCCAACCAGCAAGAATTCTGACTCTCACAGACCTGTTGGTTTTTCTTTAAGAAACCCTCTTATTGTAATAATTGTGCCTGTTTTAACTCATTACCTGTATAAAAGACACCTGGCCACACACTCAGTCGTCACACTCCAACTTCTCCACCATGGCCAAGACTGAAGAGCTGTCTAAGGACACCAGGGACAAAATTGTAGACCTTCACAAGGCTGGCAGGGGCTACAGGACAATAGGCAAACAGCTTGGTGAGAAGGCAACAACTGTTGGTGCAATTAGAAAATGGAAGAAACACAAAATGACTCAATCTTCCTAAGGTCTGGGGCTCCATGCAAGATCTGTCCTCGTGGGGTAAGGATGATTCTGAGAAAGGTCAGAAATCAGCCCAGAACTACCGATACACAGGAGGACCTGGCTAACAACCTGAAGAGACTGGGACCACAGTCTCAAAGTAATACACAACATTGTCATGTTTAAGATCCTGCAGGGCCCCCCTGCTCACGCCAGCACATGCCCAGGCCTGTTTGAAGTTCACCAATGACCATCTGGATGATCCAGAGGAGGTATGGGAGAAGGGCATGTGGTCAGATGAGACCAAAATAGAGCTTTGTGGTATCAACTCGTCATGTTTGAAAGAAGAAGGATGAGTACAACCCCAAGAACACCATCCCAATTGTGAAGCATGGGGGTGGAAACATCATACTATGGGGCTGCTTTTCTGCAAAGGGGACAGGATGATTGCACCGTAGTGAAGGGAGGATAGATGGAGTCATGTACCGTGAGATTTTAGCCAACAACCTCCTTCCCTCAGTAATTCAATTCAATACTTTATTAATCCCAAAAAAATTTTATTATTTTGTTGCAGTAACTCGTCATCCTCATTTCATTAAGAGATGTTATAGATGCTGATGGTTGTAGACAGGAAGGATCTCTTGTAAAGGTCCATCCCACAGTAGATCCTAAGAAACTGGCTGCAGATGCCGTCCGATCCGTCCACCCAGACTCGACTGGCCTCTTGGTTCCCCCGGGCTGTAGGACCGCCCGAATGCTGGGCAGAACTCCTCCCAGAGCGATGGCCACTCCTCCCAGTAGTCTGCCGAGCTCCTCGTCGCTGCGGACAATCAACTGTTGGTGCCGAGGGGCGATCCTGTCCTTCCGCTGTCATGAGCCATGTTTCCTGCTAGTTCCAGGATCTCAGTGGTCAAGCACTCGAGCACAGCCGGCAGGTAGATGAGAATGCATCCACAGAACATCCTTTTCAACTCATTTGAGATTTTGGGCTGTAGCTGAGATATTATTTGAGCTTTTGAGATGTTAATCAGCTGCTGTTGGTTGTAGAAAACTGCCTTGTTGCCATGGTTACGCATCATAACAAATGTCCAAAACTAACATTTTCAGTAAAAATCCTTCCGGCTGCACAGCATCTGATACCAGAGGAAACAATCATCCAAAAAAATGTGATTTACATCCAGAAAAAGAGGAATTAAAGTTTCCAAAAACAAAATCTCAGAATGAAAGTAACAGAGCTGCTCCAACATGCAGCCACCTTGAGCGGCGCAATTCTAGAGCTACTGAGAGAGAAGAGCTTGGTTCGTGGCTGGGTCATCCATCATGACGATGACCCCAAACACACAGCCAGGTTCAACCGTGGCTCCATAAGAAGTATTTCAAGGTCCTGGAGTGGCCTAGCCAGTCTCCAGACCTGAACTCAATAGAAAATCTTTGGAGGGAGCTGACACTCGATGTTGCCCAGTGACAGCCCCAAAACCTGAAAGATCTGGAGAAGCTCTGTCTGGAGGAGTGGGCCAGAATCCCTGCTGCTGTGTGGAAACCTGGTCCAGAACTACAGGAAACGTTTGACCGCCGTAACTGCAAACAAAGGTTTCTGTACCAAATATTAAGTTCTGTTTATCTATTGTATCAAATACGTGTTTCATGCAATAACATGCAAAGAAATTATTTAAAAATTATTCAACGTGATTTTCTGAAAATTGTTCTTGGCTTTGGTCTCTCAGAGTTGAAGTGTACCTACGACAAAAATTACAGACCTCTCCGTTCTTTGTAGGTGGGAAAACTGGCTAAATCAGCAGTGCATCAAATACTTATTTTCCCCACTGTATTTACCTCATCTTTAAAACCAGTTATTAAAAACCTTTCCATCAGTTAATGTACAAAGCAAATGTTATTTCTAAAAAAAAATCCACAGCCACCATTTTAAGTTTCAACACAGAGAATCCAGATGTTATTAAGTCTCGACTGACAATTAACAACTTGATTCAATAACAAGAAAACTAAAAACTCTACTTTTATAAACACTTTAATTGTATAAATATGTTTAACACCAAGAAGTATAGGTTTAGAATCCTTGAAGGGTTTTTATAATGAAAGTGTTCATAATACAGCTCCAGGTGAGCATTTAAACAGACGTATTTACTCATTTTTAAAAGTATTTGACTGTTATTGTATAATAAAATTAATGTTGTATCAATTTAATAACATTTTTACTGAACAGTGGTGTCACTTCACTTTTACTTATGATAAATCTTTGTCTTATGAGTTTGAGACATTTGATCAATTCCATGACATAAAGTCTACACTTATTTATAATTTTTTCTGCATTTCAGGTTTTGTTAATATTGTTAAAAAAAATGGGTAACTGTGTAAGAATTAGGTAGCTGGCTGCTTTACAATTGAAGCCACTCATTTTTAATTTTATTTTACGTACATAACACAGAAACGGTCATAATTATTATATGCTTTTGTTTCTGTTTTTTTTTATACAATTTCTTCCATTTACTTTTCATTTTATATGCTTTTTATATGATTGTCTATTGTTGTCTGTACCTTATCTGTGTTCTCTGTTTAAAACAGGACTCTCTTGAAAATGAGTCCTCGTGGCTCAGTGAGACTAACTGTATAAATAAAAGTTGAATGAATAAACTTAGAAATAATGTACCGGTAATATAGTTGTGCAAGTTTTCCAACACTATTAATGTCTGTTGCTGTAACAAAACTATTTTGCTTATGTTCCAAATATTCATCCAGCTTGACGCAGGACATGAGCTCGGGTAAGAAAAATTGTTTAGGAAATATTAAATAAATCGATATACCTCAGTTCACATCTCAGTGTCCTCCCTGTATGTATGATAGAGTAGTGGCCAGCTTCAAGCCCTAACAAATAAAAGCACAAATATTCTTCTTCGACAGTCAACTAAAATGACTAACTTTTAAATTCCATTTGGAGATTTTAGATTTTGCTAAACTGGACACTAAAGCAGTTTTGATTTAATCCCAAGGTGTAGCTTTAAAGACATTTTCTGCATGTTTAAATACTGAATAAAACCACAAAGCTTAAAACCTCCTCATTGTAACACAGTTTTTGTTGAATGGGTGCATAACGCCCACCTGTTCTAACCCAAGATTGTGTAATGGTGGCATGGGTCAGAGCTGTAGCAGTTTTGGGCAGAGCTTGTTGTGGATCAGGGTGGGCAACATTGTTTCCAGAGGGTCAAATGGAGTTATTTAAAGCAGTCAAGCGTTGCACAGTGAACTGAAAAAAATACCTTTTCTTTAAGGCAGATAATCTATAAGAAGTTTCCAGGCTTTTTCTTTCCTACTTTCTAGGAAGACACTTTCTGTAAACAGGTTGTTGTGCAACATATTTGTTAGTTTAAAATATGAAGAGGTTAGTTTGCTTTTTTTGAATCTTGAAGGTTCACTCTAGTCTCTAGGTCTGGAAACAATGACTTACCAGGAAATTAAAGTTTCGGGCTATCTTAATCCAAAGGTTTTAGGTGTATTTGTCTAAGATGTTTAATTTAGACTTCCTTAAGTTTCATTAATAAAATGTAGATTTTCATCAACTCATTTTAAAGTTATTTTCTTTACAATTGGGGATATTGGATGCCAGATTAAGATTGTTCAAGGGACATTTTTGGCCTATGTATGCTAGATACGTGAGCAATTTCATGGAATATTTCCAAGATCTGTTAGGTGTTCTGTTTTTCAAGATCTGAGGGTGATGCTCAGAGATTATGTGAAATTTAGTTTACATTTAACAAATTACAGCCATTTTTGTGTCTGCTATGGCGGCCAACTTAAATTGGGTTAAAGTTTAAGGACTGTAGATGTACAGCTAATGATCACATTCTGAGAGTTTCATTAAATTATGCCCAGAGGTTCATGAGATTGGGTTGAAATCAAGAATTAAAGCCTAAATGCAGTTAAATGCAATTAAATTAGTGAAGTTAAATGCAATTAAACCAATGCACATCACCTTACAATCTAGCTGTTTTTCACTACTTTTCCTTTTCAATTCAATTCAATTCAAATATACTTTATTAATCCCAAAGGCAAATTATTTGTTGTTGTAACTCGTTATCCTCATTTCATTAAGATATGTTATAGATACTGATGCTGTAGACAGGAAGGATCTCTTGTAAAGGTCCATCCCACAGTGGATCCTAAGAAACTGGCTGCAGATGCTGTCAGGTCCGTCCACCCAGACTCGGCTGGCCTCTCGATTCCCCCGTGCTGTAGGATCACCTGAATGCCGGGCAGAACTCCTCCCAGTGCGATGGGCACTCTTCCCAGCAGTCTGCAGAGCTCCTCGTCGCTGCGGACAATCAACTGTAGGTGCTGAGGGACGATCCTGTCCTTCCGCTGTCGTGAGCCATGTTTCCTGCTAGTTCCAGGATCTCAGTGGTCAGACACTCGAGCACAGCTGGCAGGTAGATGAGAATGCATCCACAGAACATCCTTTTCAACTCATTTGAGATTTGGGGCTGTAGTTGAGATATTATTTGAGCTTTTGAGATGTTAATCAGCTGCTGTTGGTTGTAGAAAACTGCCTTGTTGCCATGGTTACGCATCATAACAAATGTCCAAAACTAAAAAAAGTTTCAGTAAAAATCCTTCCAGCTGCTCAGCATCTGATACCAGAGGAAACAATCATCCAAAAAATGTGATTTACATCCAGAAAAAGAGGAATTAAAGTTTCCAAAAGCAAAATCTCAGAATTAAAGTAACAGACCTGCTCCAAGATGCAGTCACCTTGAGCGGCGCAATTTTAGAATTGATTGCCATTTTATTTTAATTTGTTAAAAAATATATATTGTACGCATCTTTTATGATTGTCTATTGTCGTTGTTGTCCACTGTCGTCATCACTCTTTATTAAAAATTCAGGTCACTCTTGTAAATGAGTATCTGAGGCTCAATGGGATTAACCTGTATAAATAAAGGTTGAATGAAAAAATTTAAATTAAGCAAAACTTAAATAAATAAATTACACATGTAGTGCTTTGTGAATACGTTTTGGTTGATGCTCAGCTAAGACCATACCAAATTTTAGGACTGAGTTACGTTTGTGTTGACCAAGGATGCGTCACTTTGGCGGCCATCTTGAATTAGGTTAAGTCAACAAGGTGACCACTTAAAAGAGTTATTTCCATTTTTAGGAATACAGTAATTAAAATTCGTCCCGATGGGTTCGTTATGAGATATTTTGCTAACACATGAGCACACACGCACGCAGACACGGGCAATAACAGTATTGTGATAAGAAAGGATAAGTTACAGTTGTGGTAGAAAATATCCGAAGGAGTTGAAGCACTCAAACGCACCATTTTAGCTAAAATAAGTGACGTTCGAAGCCAAAGCGGTTCTTGCTAGCTGCCTACCGACATTTATATTTTTGGAGGATTCCGACTTCAACTTGTACAAATGTGAACAAAAACACAGAGCAGGCAGCCGCAGATGTTTTGTTTAAAACCCTCCAACGCAAACATTAGCGGATAAGTGTCACTTTGAAATCAGTTACTGGCGTCTGCTTCCCTGCGAGCCCTCCAGGTTTTGTTTTTTTTTGACTGCACGCGCATCGCATTTTGTTTTTTACGTTAAAACCAGAATATTCTAGCTCGTGCGTCACGTAAACGCTTAAACGCCACACTCAACGGTTTTCAAACGATAACATTCGACATTTAAATCTACATTTGAAGAGAAGAAACGGTCGAGTTTTCTTACGAAACTGTTTTTTAAGGTAACGAGACTCCTTTTTTAATATCAAAAGTGGCACTGCAAAAGTTCTCAGCCGACTCGCGTTACACAAACGGATGTTAATTTAAACATACTTACCTTTGTTTAATGGTGGTTAGGAAACCGATCCAATCAATAAATAGATGGCTGTGTGAAGGTCTAAAAAAAAATTTTTTTTAACAGAGCTCAATTTTTGTAACAGCGAAGCTCCTTGTAGCCAAGCTGGCTTGTGTTGACTGTTTTTTTAGGAGGAGGTCCTCAATCTCCACCCACAGAACACACGGAGCTACCCATCTATTTGATGGGCTTCTACATAAACACTCTAAAATAAAGATGCCTAATCTTATTGTTCACTCTGTGATATTTGAATTAATTTACACCCTGAGATAGTTTTATGTCAAGACAAAAATAAGATGAGGCCTTAAAAATAGTTGTTGTTTTTTTTAGATCAAATTGAAGTCAACGGCTAAAAACGTTTTGCCGGATCATAAAACAAAAATAACCAATGTTCAGTATTTTTATGTTATATAATGAACAAGGAAAAAATATAGAAAATAATAGTGCCAACAGGCGGGACAGTACACATAACCATAGCAAGCGCTTAAACGTATCTAAGCACTTCAGGACCGCCCCTTCTTCCTCTAGGCGGAAGTGACGTTAACTAATCTTGAAAGATCGTCTATTTACAAACGGATGTGTTGTAGCATACTCCAAAAACAGTTGTAATATTTTTATAGGACTCTTCAAAACTCGACTCCTAGATTACCTGAAACAAAAACGATTTCAATAGTAACTGTAAAATTTTTGTGTTTGTACATTTCTGTCAAAACAAATGTAGCATTCAATCAATGTTTATGGAAACAGATATGCCAGATACAGATAGTGTGCCTGTTCCAGCTGCTTCCCTCTCATTCACATGCATGTACCCTGTCTTACTGTTGTTTCATTCCTGTTCTTTCAAGTGCATACCACCACTGTTCCCTATTCTAATCTCAGATCCCAATGTCATCTGCAAACATCGTAGTCCACAGGGATTCCTGCCTGACCACATCTGTTAGTCCGTCCATCACCAGAGCAAACAAGGGGCTCAGAGTTGATCCTTGATGCAATTCCACCTCCATCTTGAAGCTATGTCACTCCCACAGCACTTCTCATCACCACAGTTCTGCTGTCCTCCTCATACATGTCCTGTACTGGCCGGTCCAACATACTTGTCTGCCACTACAGATTTCCTCATGCAACCAAATAAAATCTTAGTTTGAAACTGTGACTTTAATGGCAGTGGTTGATAAGAATTCCTTCAAGAAATGCTATGTCTTCAATTTATATTTGAGTTTTTATCAAAATAGAACAAACATTGACCACTTTGGCTGAACAAATAAAAGGAACCCATTCCTCATGGTATAGATAGCTTTAAACCAGGCACACTTTTTAGTCTAATTATTATATCCTGATGCATGCTCAATAATCCAGTAATCCATCTAATTATTATAGTAATAATAAAAATCAGAAACACTTCTCTCTGTAATGTAATTCAAACAGAGCACAACTTCAACAATGTGAAACAGATTCAAGTAGTATAATAAAAAATCTTGATGATTGGAGATTTTAGTACGTCACTGTTTGAGTTACTTTTAATTTGAAAAGCGGAAGTGGCCTTTCCCGCCTGGGTCCGTAATGACTTATTTAGTACTTTGAAAACGCAGCGGAGTGACACCTCTGTCGTGCAAGCCTCCAGACTGAGTGTTAGAGCGTTGAGCAGCCGGAGACACTTTGAACACAAACAAACCCAACTTTATTTAGCCTCATGGTGGAGGTGACGGAGCACAAACTTTGATTTTAGCTTTAAATTCGCTCAGAGGGTGTTCATCATCCGGACTGACCCGGCACTTTGCCATCTGTCGTCGTGTGTTCATCATTCAGACGCTGTGCAGCCTGGGAGGAGACAGGTAGCTCATGACATCACATTCACTTTTATTCTTGTATAAAACATGTTTTTTTGAAGAAGTTAAGGAAAACATAGCGTGCGTTTGCCGCTGACTTAAAAAAAATCCGCTCTTATTTTTGAGCATCAGTGTGTAAAGATAAACCTAAAGCTTAAATTTAGATATGGCAGATGAAACCTGAATGAACTTGGGAGGAAACATCTGTTTTCTCTCTCCATACTGCAACCCAAAGAATATTATCATGAAAAAACAAGTGTCTTGAGTAGTGTTTTGTATAGTGTTTAAGAAACAAAATCTTAAAGCCATCATAGGAACAAACGTGGGTCCAAAAAGACAACTTCTGATTATGGGAAAACATAAAAACTAAATATTTTGTCAAGTTTCTTGAAATGATCAGTAGAACTGAAGACCGTAGTGTCAAACAAAGGTTATTTAGTCACATACTTGATGAACAGTTAAACTTAGCTAAATAAAGGTCTATCATTCCTTGAGGGACTGCATTTTGTCAGAGTTTTGGACTAAATTTGAGTCATTTTGGTCAAATTCTGAACATACTTCTATGTTTTAGTTTCATGAGATGTCACAGTCAGAGTACAACACTTGGTGAAAATTATGGAATCACCATTAAAGGATGCGCTGACGTTGTTTAGTAAACAATGAATTAAAATAAAGCAGACGTGCCACAAAACTATTTTTTCAAAACTCCAACCTTCTGTCATCAAGAAACAATCAAGTCGAGGAAAAACACAATCTTTAAAGTTCCTAAACACCTGCATGAGATTCAATCAAACTAGTTTTCAGTTCCAGAGTGCTGAGGCACTAAAAATTAACGTCAAAATTGTCTCCAACACCAGAGATGTGAGTTGAGCCAAAGAAGAAAATTATGAAACTTCCTTAAGATAAATCATCATGCAATGTTGCAAACGCTGTTGTTTGCTCCGAGTCAACTGCATCTAAAATCAGGAAAACAGATTAAACGACAAACTGGAAAGGTTTGTCCTGCAGGAAAGACGTATAAAGTCAGTGACATGGCCTGCAAACAGTCCAGATCTCAGTCCAGATCTCAGTCCAGTTTAAAATCTCTAATGGAAATTGAAGAAAACGGTTCGACGACGGAGCTGATCAGGAAACGGTGATTTAAAAGACAGCTGGAGTCAGACTGGTAAAGAACTGGTTGTCATTAGTTAGGTTCACGCCTCGGAGAATGCAAGCTGTTAGAAAAGCAAGAAGTGGTGCAACAAAGTGTTAATGGTGCAGTTTTTCATCACCGTTCATCTTTTTTTCTTCTACTTGATCTAAAAAAAGCAACAGTGACCGACAACAGCAGTTCCATTTATTTTTGTTTCTTAATATGAGAAGGTTAGAAATGTAAAACTAATTTAGTGACGCATGTGATTTATTATTTCTTTATACAAATTTAAACAACTAACATCCAACAGTGACGACTTCATGGTTTTTGTCAGGGCGTGTAAGTGTTGAAGATGACTCTCGGCTACTACAACACCACATGAGTCAATATCTGTAAAAATCAATTGAATTGTAGCCATTTGTGTTTATTACGCTCAGCTGGCTGCAGCAACCATCTGGAAGAAAATAAATTAAAAGTTTCATTGGAACCCATGCAGTGGTTCGTGAGATATTTTGCTAACAGGCGCATTAACATTTGCAGACATGAGCAAAAACATTTTCACCTGCTGTGTCTTTATCAAATCAACTATTTTGTCCAAAAGTCAGTCCATTTACAGCTTTCAGACACCCTGAGGACATTAGTGTTCTCCTGCGGTCTTTCAGAACTCGTCCTCGCTGCGCAGATCTACAACACGACACCCCTCAGCTCAGGTTCGGGTCGGTTCTGATGGCAGCTTGTGCTCTGGTGGGTCTAAATGCAATTGTGCATTGACTTCCTTTCATAATGAGAATGTTGAGACTTCCATCTTTTGTTTGTTGTCCACCACGTCCTGTTTTTGTTTATTTAGTTGTAATGAGTTAAAACAACCAGCAGGTGTCAGTGTGGCATCACTGACACCAGGAAGGAGTTCAACTCATTTGGCGCCTGAACAAATTGAAAAGTAACACCTTCTCTTAAAAACAAACTTAAAATAAAAATAAATGTTTTTTTTAATGACTTGTTTAAATAAACAGCAGTTGATTCACATTTTGCACAGAAGAAAGTCATCTTTAATCTTCAGAAAATATATTATTGTCCTGGAAAGTGAGATATCTATCTATCTAGATATATAGATATATATAGATATATAGTAAGTAGTTAGCAAAATATCTCATTAACCATTGAACCAATGAAACTTGCAGAAAGTGACTTAAAAGGCAACCTTTGGAAATCGACCCCATTCAAGATATCTGCCACAGTTAATTGACTTTAGCCCCACAAAAATGACTCTGTTCATTTTACAGATATTGAGCTAACACTTGGTGTGGTGGTAGCTGAGAGTCATTCCCAACACTTAAACTGGTGCTGTTACATCACATTGTGCGATTCAAAAGGTTTGACCAAAACGACTAAAATTCCTTCTCGGCGGCGGGCAACGTGCAATCATTCAAATCAAGTTAAGTGTTTAAAACGTCTTTTAATAAATATTTGGGATCAGTGGCAGGAGATGCTTTAATTTAGGACAAATTCAATGCCCCTACAGAATTCATATTGATACTTCATTTGTCTTTAATTAAGTGCCAGGGCGTTTTCAAAATAGCAACAAAACAGGAGTCATTACTGAGCCCCCCCCCCCCCTCCCCCCACACACACCACCCACCTTCCTCTGTGTGTGAGCAAACAACATGCTAACACAAATTAGGCTTGGCCTCTTTGTGTGAATGGAGGGGCCAACAACAGAGTGATGTGTCATTAGCGAGCAGGTGGGGAGGGAGGACACGGAGCTGCTCCCTCCTCAACTTTGTAATGAAGAGGTTTCCATGGCGACTGGACTGCCGGTTCCCTGCTCTTGGACTGTGGAAGGGGGTGTGCAGTGGAGATCAAAGTTGGCCGTTCTCGACTCTGCTGAGAGTGGAGGGTTAAACGCCGGGGTTGCAGCAGAAAAGCCCCTCATTAAACTGAACCAAGTCTGCCTTTTTGGACCCGGCTGAGGCCCGGCTGGTGTTTTAACCATCGGTTAGACTGCAGGAACATGTGGCGTGAGGTCTGATGGGCCAAACGCAGAGAACTTAACAAACGCCTGGACTGTATCCTAAAACATGGATCAGAACGTTCAGCTCGATGGGGAACGGTGCACTATGACTTGATTATTGTGACTTTTTTATGCTTTTCAAAATATTTAACTTTGCTTCAATTAAGATTCCAGTAGAAATGAATAGAGGTATTTTTTCAGTTACTTAAAACAATTTTCTTTTTTAAATCTACCTCAACATGCTCTGTTTTTGTCTTTGTTTGCTACTTTTAGCTGCTGCTTTGCTACTCTTAACTTTCAGTGACCATTTGGCTACTCTTCGATTTCACTACGACTCTGCTTCTTTTGGCATTTTAGTAACCGTTCTGCTGATAACGGCTTTAGAAAGGGTGTACAATTTTTAGCTGCAGTTTTGTTAAAGGGAACTGTTGTTATGCTGATTTTAGCTGATGTTGGCTCCTTTTAGCTTTTAACTACCATTTTTCTCATTTTAGCTTTGTTATTATTTCATTCTTTTTAGCCTTTGCTACATATTTTAGCTACTGTTTGGCTCGTTTTAGCACTGTTTTGAAATTAGCTTTAGAAAGTGTTGTGCAACTTCTAGCTGCAGTTTTACTAATTTAAGCCACTTGTTTCTGATTTTAGCTATTGTTTTGCTCCTTTTAGCTTTTAGCTATAGTTTTGTTAGTTCAAGCTTTTAATAATAATTTAACTGTTATCTTTATGCTCCTTTTAGCTTTTCACTGCAGTATTGCTGATTTTTTTTAACTTCTTTTAGCTCTTAGCTACTGTTTTCCTCTTTTTAGCTTTTAGTTTTGCTCAGTTTAGCTACAGTTTTGATTTTAGCTGTAGAAAGTGGTTTGATACTTTTAGCTGTAATTTAGCTGATTAAAGCCACTGTTTTGTTCCTTTTAGCTACTGTTTTACTACTTTTAGCTTTTACTACCATTCTGCTCCTTTTGCCATATAGTTTTGCTGATTTTTAGCTTTAGTGTTTGTTTTGCTACTTTTAGTTCTGGTTTAGCAAATCTTAGCTACTTCGCTCCCTTTAGCCCTTAGCTAAAGTTAGCATCTGTTTTAACAGAAATTGTTTTAACACTTGCTATAGGTTTGTTTTGCTCATTTTAGCATCTCTCTTGCTGATGTTAGTTTTTAGCTATGGCTTTGCTTAGTGTAGCTGTTATCTTAGCTGACTTTAAGCTTCTGTTCTGCTCGTTTTACTCAAACATTTTCTTTTGAATAAATTTCATTGAAGTCTTTCAGCCCTCAGCGTTCTCTCCTGTTGGCTAACTGTAGCTGATTTGAGGAGCTGCTCTCCTGGTGGTCCGGTTATGAGACAGAGTTTCAGTGTGCGAGAGCGAGTGGTCTGAAAGGCCTCACAAGGAGGTGGGGGGCAGGGGGGCTTCTAAATCCTTTTTAAAGCCTTTTGTCATTTATCCAGGGATTTATTAGTCATTAAAGAATAATAACAGCATCTGTGGCACATTTAGGGCTTTATCTGATGAAAGGCTGAACATTTCAGGCGCTGAAAGCAGTTTAAGCTTGTAAAAACCTCTTCTCCTGTGTGTTTTTAGCAAACCGTCCAGTTGGATGAGTGCAACTTCTCCAGTCGTGATCGTGTCTACAGTCGCGTCGAGGTGCTGCGTCCCCGTTCGGCCCATGAGAAAGCAGCATTAATAACTGGGCCTGTGATTTATCGCCTGGACTCAGCAGTGTCTTTTTGAGGGGGGACCAGACAAAAGCCGAGACCCTCGGCCTCCCGGTGTTTTTAATAGCTTTGTAGGATGTGGAGGAAGAAAAACACTGTAGTCTCGGGGAGGGTGCTCCAGTTTTTGGATTGAGTGCCTAAAATGAAAGTAGTACGTTCAGATGTTTATCTTCATATTCGTTTCTTTAGATTGATATTTTCTTAAGCTGCACGGGGAAAAAGCTTTAATGCACTTAAAAATGAAATTAATGTCAGATCTCTCCCTCTCTAAGGTGTTTTTGGAGAAAAAGCTCTGCTGTTCCTGAAACAAGGTAAACAGTCATGTTTACCTTGTTGTTTTGTTTACTCGTTTGTTGCTTCTCTGATTTTAATCTGAGAAAGTCTGATTGGTTTTGGACATAGCTCTTCCTGCTCCTCAGCTCCTTTATTGAAACCTGCCTACAAATCATTTATCTTCACCCCCTATCCACATTTCTCTCCCTTTTAGGGGGCCATCTTTTTTTCCCTCTCCCAGCTGGGTTTGTTGACTCATATCTGCGGTTCTGTTTCACCTCTCCCACCCTTCTTTTTAACTCTCGTGCCCCCACCTCTCAGCTCTACGCTCCTCTTTGGCCCAACAGTAAAGCTGCCACAGCTGTGGACTGTATTAGCATAGCTGCTGAGGCGCGAACTGGGGGGCCAAATATATTGCAGCCATTAGCTTTTGTTCGACTGTTGACGGTTTTTAAACATTTCGGCTTCCTTCTGTGCAAAGAGACACCGGAGGAAAGAATGCCAAGATGATTTCTGCCTAACAGCTTTTTAAAGAGCAGACACAGACGATGAAGGAGGCAGCAGCAGAAAAAAACCTAATTAATGAAATCTGATGAGAGAAACTGAGGCAAACATGTCTGAAGGAGCTGAAACAGTTGCAAATGCAAAAACAAACAAACAAAAAAGAACAAGCTTAAATCTTAAAGAAGAATGCTAGCTTACAGCTAAATTAAGACTTAATAAAAACAGAACTAGCTAAAATGGGTGTCCAGTTCAGGTACTTGAGGGCTACTAACCTGCATAGAAGAGAAATCACAGAGAAACCTCTAAAACCTGCAGGAGAGGGGCCCTCGAGGACCAGGTCTGGACACCTCTGGACTAAAAGAGAACACTAGCAAAAAGCTAGAAGAAAAGCACCAGCTAAAACAACAAAAATAGCTAAAAACTAGAGCATTAGAAGTTTACAAAGGCCTTTTAAAACCTAAAATAAGCAGAACAGTAACTACAAAAAAAATAGCTAAATGATAGCTACTTTTTGCTGCTACTTTTAGCTTGTTAATGATAACTAAAAGTAGCAAAAGGCTAGCTAAAATTTTAAAGTAGCATCCCAAGACAGAAATATATCAGAAGCAGATTTCAAAGAGATAATGTTTTTGAAGGAATTGAAATCTTTAAGTCTGAAAGTTTGAAAATTGTTATAGTACCTACAAAAAATCAGCTGAATCAGCTTTCACAATAATAATATAACCATAATAAATTAAAAAAGAAACAAACAAAGAAAAAAAATACTAATTCTTGCTTTAGTTGATGCTTAAAATAAACTTTTGATCTGTTTCAATTGTTTTTCTCTAAAGTGTGGGCATGAACAGATCCAGGTCCAGCGGGGATAAGAAAGTTGCCCAGCCTCCAGTCAGCAGGATAACTCGCAGCTCCGGCTCCCAGGACCGGCACCCGGACCCCGCAGAGTCTCAGGACCCGGGACAGAGCCTGTATGGGAAACAACGGAGGAGGAATACGGACTCTGCTCTGGCCCAAGACCTCGGCCCAATCAGTGTGAACGTGGAGAACATCTTACCAACAAGGTAAAGGCTTCTCTTGAAGCCCAAAAATTAAAAATAACACATTTCACTGGAAAATATCTGTATCTGTATATTACATGCTCTGATCCCCCATTTAATTGTTTTACTTAAAGTAAATTTTTCTTTTTTTTTTTTCATTTAGCCTTTATTTATCCAGGTTAGTCTCATTGAGCCACGATGCTTCTATAAATGTTATCAGTTTAGTGAGCTACAAAAACAAAATAAAATGATGATGTAATGTCGGCGTTGGTCTTTAACACTGCTACCATCTTCAGTGAAGTTTTTTAGGTATTCCAGGTTTTAGTAGACCCACTCAGGGTCTCTGTTAGTTCTTAAAAGCTCAGTGTTTCATAAAAATATAAACGAATTGAAGAGTTTGAAAGCAGATAAAACGTGCACACCTTACAGGATGATAAAGCAGTAACGAGTGATGTATACTTTTATTCTTCAGTAAAGAAAAGAAGTCCAGAACCAGCAGTGATCCTGTCCCTGCTGGCCAGTCCTCTGGGTCTGTGTCTGATCTAAGCTCTCGGTCTTCAAGCGGCACCAAGTCGAGCTCTCGGAGCGGCCTCTCCTCTGTGGCTCGGCTCGTGAAGCTCGGCCGCTGTAAGAACGTGGTGGTGGTGGCTGGAGCGGGGATCAGCACGTCCAGCGGCATCCCCGACTTCAGGTCGGTGCTTTGGCTCTTTTGACCCAAAGAGCTGCTGTTTGAACAAAACCTCACTCTGAGCTCATTAAAGAGTTGCTGTTTTTCACCTAACCGAACATGTGAAACCCTTCAGGACTCCAGGAACGGGTCTCTATGCCAACTTGGAGAAGTTCAACGTCCCTTACCCAGAAGCCATTTTCAACATCGACTACTTCTCCAACGACCCGCAGCCTTTCTTCTCGTTGGCCAAGGCTCTGTACCCCGGCGGTCACCGGCCCAACTACGTACACTACTTCATCCGTATGCTCCATCACAAGGGCCTGCTGCGTCGAGTGTACACGCAGAACATCGACGGGCTGGAGAAACGTGAGTGAATCAACATCCAAACTCAAACTACTGCAAATACATCTGGAAAAATGCTTCCTGATCTCTGAATTTGTACATTTCATCAGGAAATTAGTCTAAAGTCAATGAAAAAAATATAATCTAATTCTGATTTTGATCCGACTTGGGGTAAGCAGCACAGCTCCTGAATGCAACATGTTTTTCTAAAACATCTTCAACACTGCTTTATTGATGGGGCTATTTATTAAAATATGTTTTTTAAATTTCAATTTAAGTTAATCTTTTACTCAAAAAGCTAAATGTATATTTTTAAAAAGTTATTTTAGGGTTTTCAAAAGTAAAGCAGCAATGTTTTTTCAAACATGAAATTAGTTAATGATTAAACGATGATCAACTAATCAGGATGGCTTCTGAAATTTAAAGATTTATTAGGTGTTATTTCATCTTTTGGTTAAGAGCTGATAGAGGATTATGATGTCAGGTAGAATATCTTCAAATTAAACTGAGTTTTTCTTAAACTTTTCACATTTTTAGGGTTTCTACAGTCTTGAAAAGTATGAAACTTGGTTTTGGTATTTTCCAGGTCTGGGTAAGAGTGTGTGTGTGGGAAATGGTATGTTTCCAGCTGCATTTCCTAAAAACAAAAATATTAAAATCTAAACATTCCTCCATCTTAAAGGGATTTTTTTCCACATTGACTGCCATGATTTTCTTCTTTTACCATGAGTTTTCCAACTTCCAGAAAATAAAGTAAGGTGTAAATTTCATTTTCTTGTTGTGCGACACTCCATCTATTATCATTTTAATATCGTTAAAGAAAACGCAGTAACTTTACTAATTTAGCTGACAAGCTTGTACGAGTTCAGGTTTGTAGACTTAAATAAAATTTTTAAACACTTCAGTCAAATTTACATGAAGTAATGTTTGGAAAAAGGTTTAATTAATTTTTTTCTTATCTAACTAAACAGCAGTATTTAAGGAACAAGTACATCCTTTGGTAGGTTTCTCTCACGATGCAATGTAAAGTCAATGAAAAAACTGTTTTTTAGGGAGTAAAACGTTCCCAAACCCAGTAATTTTACACACAGGTAAAATAATATCTGTACAAACAGTAAATTACAGTAAATTTACAAACATTTTAATCAACTATGCTTTTTTTGGCTTTAAGTCAAATGCAATTCAAAATGTTTTACAGGAAAAAAAATAGAATTAAAATAAAAAACATCTTCTAGAATAAAGCCATCTTATGTACAAGCCAGACTGACCAGATGGGTCTTAAGTCTACGTTTAAAAGCATCCAGGTTTTGGACTCCCCTCAGGTCCCCCAGCCGAGCACAGTCTCTGTGTGTGTGGCTGCTGAAAGTAGAATCTCGAAAAGTTCTTGTTCTGCTCTGTGGAAAGGAATTAGAAGATCTCAGAGGTTGTCTTGGTTCATAAAACAAAATTATTTCTCTGATGTAGTCGAATCTTCCATGGAGGAAGCTGAGTCGGGGGACTTCAGGGTTGGTCCGTCCATAACCATGGTTGAAGTCACCGAGGTAGTTACAAAGCTCCGTGGCAGCAGGGCTCCGGGGGAAGATGAGTCACCCTGATTTCCTTACGGCTCTGGATGTTGTGGGCCTGTCTTGGTTGACATGCCTTTACATCGGGTGGACATTGGGGGCAGTGCCACTGGATCGGTAGACTGTGGTGGTGGTTGTAGCGTAATATTTTATACCAATCTTATGATGCAGGTTTTTCTGTTTAGACTTTTGTCTTATAATGGATGAACTTCTTTGGTTTTCCAATTAGGTGCTAATTAACGCGGTGGTAACGATAGAAATCTGTTAAAAGTTCTCCGTCTTTCTCCTTTCAGTTTGCGGTATCCCAGAGGACAAGCTGGTCGAGGCCCATGGGAGTTTCTCCACAGCTTCCTGTCACCTCTGCTACACTCCATATCCTGCTGAGGAGGCTAAAGTACGTCCCGCTCTGTTGTCCAGACAAACACGACTCACCGAGTCATCGGGTGTAATCCCTCTGTTCATCTTTCTGTTTCTCAGAGCGCTATAATGAACGACAACATCCCCAAGTGCTCATTCTGCACCGCCACTGTCAAACCAGATGTTGTGTTTTTCGGAGAGGACCTCCCTCAGAAGTATTTCCTCCACACTGAAGACTTCCCCAAAGCGGACCTGCTCATTGTTATGGGCACGTCTCTGCAGGTAGATGTTGGGAGCATGTTGTAAAAGCAGACCTTGGTGTCTGTGATGTCCTGAACAACTGTTTCGGGTTTTAGATCGAGCCGTTTGCCAGCCTGGTGAATACGGTGCGCTCCACGGTGCCACGCCTCCTCCTGAACCGGCACGCTGTGGGCCCCTTTGAGAGGGTCCCCCTGCGGAGAGGAGACCACATGGAACTGGGTGATCTGGCTGAAACCGTTCGAAGGTTTGCTGAACTTCTGGAATGGAACGATGAAATAGAAGAGCTAATGAAGAGGCAGGAAGTGATGGTGGGTTCTGCCTTCAGCCACTCAGACATTTAGAGTTAATCTGGAAAATGTTGTTTAGTCGCTCCAAATTATTTTATATTTATCGTCCACCACCGAAGCATTCACTGAACATCTACAGCTAACCAACTTTTACACAGAAAATGCTACAATTTAGCTGTGATTTTACAAATATTGAGCTAAAATTTGGTGTAGTAGCAGAAAGGTCATGTCCAACATGTGCTCCAGGCATTGATGCATCTTGTCGTACATAATTTACGTTTGACCAAAACGCCATTAAACTGAAAGGCAGCGAGCAACATCTGCATTCCTTCAAGGAACACAAGGTCATTAACGTGTTTTCTGTTGTACTAATTTCCTCTGCAGAGCATCCCTACACTGGTAACCAGCCCGTCGTCTCTGACATTTTGTCCGAACGCTGCAGCATCATCAGAACCTGAAACATCCAGGTCTGAACCGCAGGATCAGAGAGGAGCCGGCAGCGGTGGCGAGGATACAGACTCTGAGACGGACTGCAAAAGCTCCGCATCATCCAACGCAAGCAAATAACGCTGCACTTTTACTGTTTAATTCAGAGCATGAAGTGTTTGTTTATAAGTACTTAAAGGTTTTATCATGTTTCTAAAGCATAAGGAAGCCTCGATCCACAACCATGGTAACGGTTTCCCTTCGTTTTTATGAGGCCAATAATTTGTAGGAGTAGTGCACTGTATTCTAAGCAATATTTAATAAAGGTTGACTGCATTTCCTGTGTATTAAAGTTAAAGTACGAGTTCACTTTATTTAAACTTCAAGTGGAATCCTTTGTGAATAAAATATGTAGTGCTGCTTACAGTACGCAAAAAAAAACCCTCTTCTGCCAGATGCATGCTATTTGAACGTACCTCCAAAGTGTTTGTGGCAGGAACATGGAGAAGTTTATATTCAGATTATTTTACAAAACACACACACAACAATGGCAAGAAAAAGTGACAAATCTGAGTTTGACAAAGCGTTTGCTGAGTAACAGGAACCTTAAAGAACTGAACAGGTTGTAGTGTGAGAGCAGGAGGGATGAGATGGGGTGAGATGTGTGTTTTTGATTACTTTAAACCATTTTACTTCTGAATAAACTGGACATTAAGCAGACAACCTATAATATGACTGACAAAGAAAGTTTAAACAGATGCAAAGTACTAAAAAATAACTTAAGCCTTTGATGTTTTGACGTTTCATCGTCTAAAACTCACCACAGGAACATAAAGTGATCATCGGTCAGCCCTCAAGTCAAAGTTTCATCCACAACAAAAGACGCACTGAGCTGCCGTTTAGTTTCTTTTAAATTAATCCCAGTTCAGCCAGCAGGAGCACTTTCCTGCCTCTACCATCTTATATTTAAATTCGTATTGTTTATTTGTTTTGTGCACTCTTACAATACAAGGATAAACTTGCAAAAGGAATAAAATAAGCCAGCGTGAAGGAATGATTTATCAAACCTTGGCAACAGTGTTGGCAGTTTAAAAACTAAGAATCCAGCAAGATTTTTTTTCCCATTTTAGGACGCAAGTGATGTAGCAGTAACCATAAATACCTCCCACATGATGACCCCATCCCATCAGCCCACTCTTCAGTAAGAGCGCCTAGAAGTGTCTGAACACAAGGTCTGCCCAAAATGATTCAAAACAAGGCTAAGAAAGTAGAATTTGTATTCAGCCCTCCTTTACGCCATAAATTCACTTTAACTACACCAAAGCACGATGATAATCCTGCAAAGTGCAGCAAACACGCCCAGTGGTTACAGATTATTGTTTTTCAGCCTTTAACGTGCCAAACCATTTCCCAGCGGTTCGGTATCTTAAACTCATCTCAGTGATCTGGGCGACCCACTTCACTGTACAGCATTTGTACGACGTGTGTTTTTTATCTGTTGGTCACCTCCCGGGGAAACGTTTGAGTGCAACACGTCTTCAGTTTAGTTTGACTGTCTCGATGTAGGATCCGTCTGTGCCAGCTTTTGAGGATCCCCTAAAACGTCCGCCTCTCGACACAGATCTAGATGTGCCGAGAACTCTCCACCCACCTCCGGCGGACTCGAAAGTCTTAGAAAGGTGGTTTAGATGTGCAGTGCACTAGTCCGAGTCCGATTCTGAGTTTTCTTCAGGAGGATCACAGAGAGTTTCTTCAAGAGGAGCTAACGTCCCGTCCGGCCTGACGCCCATCGGTCGAATGACGTTCTGCCTGTGGAGACAGAAACACAAACCTCAGATCCTAAAACCCAAAACACCCGATGTGCTCGGATTTTCTAAACTAACAAAAGCTGCATCCTAAAAGACCTCCCAGATCAGGCCTGTGTATCTGACCAGTCCTAATAAGGGGTTTCACTTGTATACCATTTGTTCTTTATTCATACACACCTCAAGGACCCTCATACTACCCCCCCACCCACCCTTTCATACACAATCAGTCCTGTCTGACCATCCTCCCTCCCTCTGCTTTGCTGTGGCAGTTTAATTACAGGATCAGTACTCACCCTAATCTCCTCAAAGCCAACACTGCCTCCCCTATCCTAATCCAATTATACCTGCCCTGTGTCACCGCTGCCTCCGACACCATTTATCTGAGAAATAACCAAAGATTTAAAAAAAAAAAAAAAAAAGTGGAACGATTTAAAATAATTTGACAAATATACAAATGGTTAAGTGATTGTGAAAATAAAATTGATTAGGGGGAAAGCTACGTTAAATTGTGGAAAAGAAGTTGGAGGTCATAAAACTTGCATGACAAATAATTTAGCGTTAGTCAAAAATGTCTCTTCTGCCTCCCTTAGGAGTGACAGAGGTCTAAGGGTTCGGCAGGTGCTCGTGTTAATTAGACGGGTTCTGTATTGAGGAGAGCAGATTCTTTCAGGGCGTCGAGCCATCTCCTTAGCACCTGTACTGATGGAAACACCTCTCCACCGCCACCGTGTCTTTACTAAGGAAGAGAAGAAAGCAGAAGCCTGGGAGAGGAATCTTCTTATTCGGGCCACACGTGTCTCATTAAAGCTCAACGCCCTCTGGGCCCAACAATAACAAGGTCTGCCTTCTTATGTCTGCACGTTTATTCAGCCGTGTCTCTTCCTCTTCATCCGAGTTCCAGACAAATTGGTTTGTCTGGTCGTGCCTCTGTCTCAGTCCACTTCTCGTCTGACCTCTGATTGGCTCTTCAAGTACAAGAGGAATAAAGTCAGGACGCGTGGTATTAAAAACCTGAATGAGGCGCATAAAGGAACCTGAGCCGACGAGTTGAGCGTGCTCGCCAATTAGGTGCTAATTAACGTGGAGGTGGTAATGATGCTGCGGCGGCACGCCGGCGAGCTCCCATTTACCCCGGCTGAATGCAGCAGGCCTAATTGAAGCTATGTCTACCAGCAGGAGATTCTTGTGAGGGTGAACCAGTTGGCAGGGAGGAAGCTCAGAGTCACCTTTGTGCAGGTAGCATTAGGCTGCTGCACACAAAGGAGAAGGTCAACACAAACACAGCAGGACCTTCTGCTGAGGAAACACTGAACTCGAGTAATGAGAGCAGCAGTTACCAAAATAAAAAGACCGTCTGAGGAGTCTTTGCAGAAGAATTACTCTTCATATAGTAGTTAATGTTTAAAACATTTTTTAAGGACATAAGTTTAATCTCTTCAATCTACAGGTGATAAAAACCTCAAAACCTTTGAACCTCTGGCTAAAATGCTCTTTATAAGGATGTTTCCTTTGTTGTTCAGCTACAAGCAGGTGACGTCTGACACGGGCCCTTATTTTCACTGTCCCCCACACTGGCTGCCAATCAAGACTCTGCCGCTGCATCTAGCCACATTTCTCATCACCGTTTTAATTTTCAGAGTTGCCTCTCCTGAAAAAAATAATTTATTTGTGAACTCGCACCCTGCTTCGACATGCGGGTTCCTACAGCACAAACAGTTCCTCTTCTCTTTTGGCTGTTTCATATCAAAAATATAAAAATGGATGAGGTTGAGAAATATCTGGAGATATATTTATTTATTAACCTTTATTTAACTAGGTCAAATCCCACTGAGGTCACAGATCTCTTTTGCAAGGGAGGTCTGGGCCTGAAGCAGCCGAACATGCATGTTTTTGGTCTGTGGGAAAAGACCCCAGGTCCAACTGGGGATTGAACCCAGGACATTCTTGCTGTGAGGCAACAGTGCTAACCACTGAGCCATCGTGCTGCCACTATGTCCCAAAATATTGTCTTTATAAATACAACAGCAAAATTAAATAGACTGGTGATTGATTTATTGATTGTCTAAGAGATTGGCTATTCTGTTGACCCATAAAAATAAACATTAGGTTAATATGATTTGTGCACTTCAGCGTGATGCGCACCGTTGTGCTTCTAATGATGCATCTCACTGCAGTGTTCATGAAGTGTTTTTGGTTTAACTTTATTGTCTCTTACACAACTGAATGAACTATCTAACTTTAAACCATAGGAAAAAAATAAAAGTCGTTAAATGAAGTCTTACTGAGGAAGTTATTTCTCAGTCATTTAAAATTGACAGCATTGAAATTCATAGTTAATTAAATAAAATGTTGGGGTGTCGTTATTGATGAGAAGCCGATATGGAAATCTCATCTAAATTACTTAAGAATAAAAATAGCAAAATCAATTGCATTACTGTATAAAGTAAAAGAGTTTTTGAATGACGAAGCTTTGTATATATTGTATAATGTAATGATTGTTCCATATTTAATATAATGCAATGATTGTTCCATATTTAATTTACTGTATTGAAGTTTGGGGGAAATCATGCAAAACAATTACAAACCCTATTTTTATTTTACAAAAAAGATCTATAAGAATTATTAGTAGGAAGTGCTATGGTCACCCAACAAATATTTCATCAGTTGAAATTATTAAAATTTTTTGATTTGATTGAATATAGTATTTTGCAAGTCATTTATAAAGCTCATAAAAAAATTACCTCAAATATTCAATTAAAATTGGTTAAAAAAAGAGAGTCATTATAATCTTAAGGGAATGGAAATGTTTGTAAAACCTCCATTTAGAACTAGTCTGAAGGAGCTGCGTTGTAATTCAGGGACTACAATTATGGAACTGCTTTGATATTATAAAAATTTATAAAACAATTCATATGTTTAAAAAGACAATTAAGTTAAAACTGTTGGGAATGTATGGTGCCAAGTGAAGGATGACTGATGTTTTTTTGTTTTCACTTTAGAGATTGTTCAATCCTAAATTGTTGTTTGTAGTTTTTTTTTTTCAAATAAGAGGCAGATATAAGATTTTCATCTTTTTTCTGCACCCTTTTCATTCAATGTTTTTTCCTTGAATTTGTTTTGTTTCTTTTAAATGAATGAATAAATAAACTATAAAACAGTCTATTCTGATCAGAGCTAAAGAATACATCTTAAATACTTAAACTGAACTGGTTACCACGTTCCTAATTCACAGCCCATCTTATAACAAGAAGTGGGCTGTTGGAGTCATTATTATCAGTTCCTTGTCAACAACAAATCTGATTCAAAGGTGAGTCGAGGTGATTTTTACAGCTGCTTTAGTGATTACTGAAGTGAGTTGATTTCATCTCTATCTGGAGTTTTAAGTGCAGTTTAAAAACCTCACCCAGAACATTATTCAAAGCCATGTATAATTTATAACTAATGAGGGCTTTCGTCTGATGTTACGTGTTTTTTAGACCGTTGGTAAGTTTTTCTGATGCTAAAACTAAACGAGCCATCGACTCTTTTCCACTTTAGTGCAGCACCTTGATAACTTGTCAAACATCTTGGCCAGATTCTCAGCCTCGTACTCCTTCTGCTCCTCGGTCATTTCCTCGATCGGATTCGGCATCGGCTCCTCCACGTGACCGGTGATGGGGTTGATGCTGGAAAAAGGGAACCAAAGAACACGATGTACCTCTGCAAACAGACTCACGCTCTCTCCATTTAACAATGTGTTAAACAAGCTGACTTGGTTGTCACTCACAAAGGTTTGGCAGATTTGTATTCTTCGGTGTCCGAGTTTTCGTCTTCGGAGTATTGAGTCTCTCCTCTTCCTCCTGCGAGAAGACCTCGAGCCACAAGGAGTCCCGCTGCGTTTCCATATCCAGTGTACTTCAACAGATTGTCCACTAAAAGGTGCAAAAAGAAGTAATGTTTTATAAACAGCCAGCCACAGTCTGAGGGCCTCCATTCTAACTCACCGCTCTCTTTGCAAAGGACAAAGAGAAACTCTGCAGCCGTTTGCTTCACGCCCATGTCGACGTGTGTCATGAGGCGAACCAGCTTGTTCCTGATGGTGCTGCCGACCTCTGGCCTGTTCTTCACATCCTTCAATGGAGGAAGGACCTGAAACAATGCAGGAACGTTCATTTCTCACAGTTTACAAAATTCCAAAAGGCCTCACGCTTCACTAAAAAATGTTTTATTCATTACTGTCCTTTGTTCGTTACCTGAGCTTTGAGGTATCTGCGGATCTCCCTGTGACATCTGGATCCTTCAGTTAAAAGGCTGAGCACCGGTGTCAAACCCTCTTTGTAGTTGGAGCCCTGCTCAGAGACAAACAGACCACTTCAGAGTCTTCATGAGCTGGACCTCTGGATGCCAGTACATGATGTTGTAAAATAATAATACGCTGTAAACATTACAGGCGACTTCTGCACCAAAGATAAGTTTCAACAATGCAGCCAAACTAAAAAACATATAGAGATGTACAAGCTGTTCATGGTCCGTTAAACAACGCGTTAGTGAAATTGGATGTTTCATAATGAAAATCTACAGTGAATTGATTCATTAGATCTTCTAATACTGTAAAATAATTGTGGGTCTGACTCGCAATTCACCCAGTCCTGAAACTAAGAGCATCTTAAGATGAGGAAGCTACAACCACACCAAACTTTAGCTCGATATCTGTAAACTTGACAGAGACAGAGTTAGAGACTATTTGGTGTTTTCTAATGACAGTCAGCGGTCCATCTTGAACTAGATTGACTCCAAAAGTTAATGAGTTGTAGATGTTCATGTACAGTAGTCCCTCGTATATGTGTATACTAAATGTTTTTAAACTCTATCTGGAATCGATGCTCACATAGCGATCGGTATATTAACACAAAAAGCTTATATTTCAATTTAGCCTTTTTTTTCTTCCTCTCTCGAATACCTTGTTTCGACTGAAAATCTAGTTTAGAAAAATCCTGTAGTTTTGAGATATGATCTTTCATTTTTGTCTGAACAAATTTAAACGTGTATCAATTTGCTACCCTCCCTCGCCCCTCTGCGTAACAACGCACAACGACTGCGCCTGCTTCTTTGTCCCTATGGGGCAGCACTGCCCCCTATCTGTGCAGCAAGGTATATTCTGCTTCACCTCTGTGTATTTTCAGCGTGCATTATGACCGATTAGAAAGTAGAAATATGTCTCGCACATTCATTCAATATAGTAGACTGTTGAACATTAGCATGTGCAGCACATGTGTAATCAAACATGTATTGGCGATATAAAGAGAGACAGCAATGGGCATGCACCAACCACCTACTTCATATATTGCATATAACACAGCGCCCCCAGAGGTGAAGCAGAGCACTACAATGCCTCACCCCGCATTGTTTGAACATGCAATGTGTAAATTCTGCGATTTTGACCACATAAATAATTCAGAAAAGTTTTATAAAACACTTTTATAGAACAGTCAAGAGCTCAAATGTATTTTCTTTTATCATTGTCAGTATTTTACTTGTCATGATCTCAGGTGAGGAACTACCTCACCTGCCTCCCCTGACTGCAGATCACTGTTAAACGCTCTAAAAGAGCACAGAACGTCATGATTGCAGCTCTCTGCCTCCTTTCCCCCAAGGCTGCACTTTGTGCTCTTGGCCATGCCCACTTCTCCGCAACTGAACGGAGATCACAGAGGAGAAAGGAGGAGAAGCTGCAGGATGATGTTTCTCCTGCAGTGTGGGCCGCACACAGGTGCAGCAGGTGCTAAATAATTTTAAATACTTCATTTTAAATAAAAATTCCATGCAGATCGTGCAGCTCGTCCATCCATCAACCAATTGTGTGTCATGTCCGATCTTATTTTGAAAAAGCGTGATAGAGCGAGTCCGCGAAAAACGAATCACAAAGTAGTGAGGGACTACTGTATTGATCACTTTCTGAAGTTTCATTAAAGTCCATCTCAGTGGTTCATGAGACAGTCTCATAATTTTCCATAGACTTCTCTAATAAACCTAAATATATTACCCAACATGACACATGTTCTGTACCATTTCTTTAGAATAAGAAGTTGTAAATTAAGCTCAAATAAACCCATAAATTCCCCATATATTTGCCACGGAGCATGACCTTCACCTTGTCGATTCTCTTCTCCATGAAGTCTAATAACACCTGCACCACATCCACATTTTTCCCGCCATATTTCTCCTGCCCCCCCTGAACGGGCACGTCTATCAGCACGTCCAGGCAGGACATGGGCAGGTTGTTCAGCAGGTTCACAGCATGGCTGCAAACACAACAACACATTTATGTAAGTGTAAACCCTTGAAGACACATCATAAAAACAAAACATCAGCCGTCATAAATCAGTAACGGATAAATGTTTGAGACAAACGGGAATTTATATGATCTTAGCTTCGTAAAAGTTTGTCCAACATGGCGTCCCCTTTTGAAACTCCTCTCCTATTCAGTCACATTTTGTCTCATGCTCTCATTCAGGCCAACTACAAAAAGATGCCGGTCAACGGGTCAAATCCCATGACCGCCGCAGCCTCAGCAGGAGGACTGTCGCTCACTTTTCCACAACGCTGTTTAAATTTCAGGCTGCAGCTACAAATTCCTGACATTCCAGCGTTAACCTTCCACCAAAGGAAGACGCTGCCGCCGGATTTTTGACAGCTCTTATAAAACGGCTAAGATTTACATCATAATTGAAAGCAGTTAGTTTGTGAGTCGTTGATGCACTTTGTCAGTCTGTGCATTTCAGGGTCAAACTGTCAGAGTAAAGATGCAGACGTTCTGCTTTCCATAGGTCGCAACGTGCAGATCGTCTTCAGCCGCGAGGAGCAGCGGGGAACAGACTCTGACCTGTGAGCTTCCTCCGTTTTCTCCTCCGTCTCAGTTTTCAGCATCAACAGGTGACGTAGGATAGCAGCTATGAGTCGAAACTGGTGGTCGTCCTCCTGTCGAACCAAGAAAATACAGAGTCAGAAAAATAACTTTTAAGACCAGGGTAATGAAAAATAAGGACATAAAGGTTTGAGATAAAACCCCTAAAAGCACAAAACAGCAACACTGAATTTGAAGAATCTATGAAAGCCACAGCAGCAGAGAAAACTGAGTAAAGTGTCTGGATATCTAGTAGGAGAGCAGAATCCTAAAACAACTGATGCTGTTTGGACTTACACTGTTAGAAGCTGCACCTGCAGTTCAAGATTTCCAGAGCTCAAATGCATAAAAAAATATTTAAAAAAATAAAATCACAAAAAATGTAAACCATATTCACGGACAACTTCAGCTATAAAGCAAAAAATAAAATCTGAGCAAGCTCTATTTAATACAATTAAATGCTAAACACTTGGTGATATCTCGAAACATGCACATTAATCTTAAGTGTTTTTAGTGTTAATTATGTCTGATATAAAACAAAGATCTAAATAACGTTCGAGATTTTGTTAGGTTGGTTCGTTTTCCAGACCTTGACGTTGTTTTGTGCAATTTAAAGTAGCACTAAATATTGACAGGGATCTTAATTATCCTAATTAGCTTGTTCTGGTGAGAACATGGTAGAAAGTCTGGGTTATACAAATTACAATGCTTGAAAACAAATCCACGAAACTGGGTTCAAAGATCAGAAGTCTTTACCTTTCTCAATACACTTAAAGTTTTCTAAATAAACAGGTGAATAAATAAACTATTACTGACAACACAGAAGAACACTCCATGAGCTTTAATTTGTTTAGTTAAATTATTATTACCAGAGAATGGGGTTACTCTAAGGTTTAGAAGAACAAAATATATATATATATATATTATTTTAAATCACTCATTGGATTAATAAAACGCACTAAAACCACAATATTTCTGCTGAAGACCATTCAGCAAACTTTATGGTCAGATCAGCAAAAATCAGAGTTAGTTCAGTGGACTGATGTAGTAAAAATACCCTTTTGGCTGCAAAGAGAAAGTAAAAGAAAAAGAGTATAAAAAGAACAACTTTCCAACAGCTTATGTTACAACCATTGACACATGTTGATTAGCTGGATGAAGAACCAGTTCAATTAGGCCCCAAAGCAAATCTTGTAGAGCAGCTGAAGATGAAAACATAACTTCATGTTGAACTGGGAAATTATACTACAGGAACAAAAGTTAACAGAAAAGCTCAAAGCTGAAACGGTTTTGTTGTGGCCTTTACAACACACAACATCCAGGCAACACCTAAAAACAAAATAAAAACACAAGCTTTCAACAGGAGGAATAAAACAGACTTAACTGGCAACATAAAGTGAGGAAATACACATTGGCTAAAAGGGCTGTTACTGAGGACGCTAAATTTTCTGTCAGGCTCTTTTCATTTACAAATAATTGCAATTAAAAGAAGAAAAAAAAAAAGAGATCATGATTTTAATGCTAAAAATGTCTCATCTTGATCTTTATGTCCACAGGAAATCACTTCCTGTTTAATGCATTAAGATATTCCGAGACGTGATTGTAATGAACAGGACAAATCCAACACGCTCACCTCATTCCGAGCTTCAGAGAGCGTGAGGTTAAACAGGGCTTTGAGAGCTTCCATCGCTCGCTCGTTGTTCTCCTTGGGCAGAGGCAGAGCCTGTGGATCTGGACAGGCGGCTTCGTAGGTACTGACCCAGCGCACATCCAGGGTATGCTCCAGCACCTCCGTCAGCAGCCTCACAGCGTGACAATCTTTCCGCAGAGCTGCTCTCACGTCAGGGCGGAGGGCAGACAGCAGGAAGAGGAGGCGCAGTATGAACAGGCCCACCTCGTGCTGCCAGGAGCTGTAGGAGTGCAGGCTGGCACACAGGCCACGAGCCAGCTGTATGTCCACACAGACCTGCTGAGCTGCTGCACTGTTGTACACCACGTTACAGAGGCACTTTAAGGCCTCCACCACCACCCTCTGCTCCTCCTCTGACAGCGAGGAGCCCCGCTGGTTGTTATCGACCTCCTCCTGTCCGGTCCCCAGTCCTGCCATCCTGCTCAGGACCAGCATCCCCTCCCTGGTGGCCACGGGTGCCAGGACATGCTTATCTCTGGACAGGATGCGGAGCGTTTCCAGACATTCCTTCTGACAGCTGGGCTGTACTGGTTTCCTGAAGACCACCAGTACACTCTGACACAGTTTCTGAACAGAGACAAAGTGGAAAAAGAGATTAATGTAATTAAAAAAACCACATCAGGCATCACTCCATCACCTGATTTCAAGATGTAGCAGGCTTACACTGCGCAGGGCTTCTTCTTTTGGGTCAAACTTAAAGGTCTGAAAGTTCTGAAACAGAAAAAGCTCATTAGGAGACACTAATTTAAAAATATATTTCCATAAATACAAACGCAAACCTTTTCTAAGAAACATAAAGTTGTTCAGCATACAAACAGGCAGGGTTAGCCATGTTGGCTCTATGGACGAATAATTGCATTCCGCATTAATTTAATCACATAATTAGCGACTAAAACTATAAAAGACATCTGACAGCTCCCGAAGCCCAAGCTGTCCGGTTCTGATGTTTAGATCACTCGATGCTAGCTCCCCTGGCTAAATAACGACTAGCGTTAGCATCCTCCCGTTTGTTTGTTTTTAATTGAACGAAACATGAAAAAGGAGACTTTACCTCTTGATTGAATCGGTGCAAAAGCTCCTCCGTGTCCCCTTCGTTTGCAGTTTCAAGCTGCGAGAGGATGTGGTTCAGATCCATGGTGTGAACCCGTGGACAACACGGCTAGCTGCTTTAGTTTGCACCTTCCGGGTGTTAGCTTAGCTTCGCTTAGCAGGCTAAGCTACAGGAGTGAAGCTGCTGTCAGACAGGGAGACTCCCTGACCGAGAAGGGGTTCTCTGCAGACCAAAAGTGGGCGTTTCTGGCGAATAGGCGTTTATGGGCGGCGAACACTGATTGGCTAAGAGTATTTAATAGGCGTTTATGGACGGCGAACACTGATTGGCTAACAGTATTTAATAGGCGTTTATGGACGGCGAACACTGATTGGCTAACAGTATTTAATAGGCGTTTATGGGCGGCGAACACTGATTGGCTATGGGTAACCCTCAAAGTCATGAGGATTATTGATGAGGTAACGTTTCTTTGCGATGTTTGACAAAGAAATATGATTTATTGTACTTATAAAGCATGCTATGTTTTCACTTATGCATATTATTGAAGTGCGTTTATTGTAGGTCACGATAGTTTCGACCGTTCTCTCGTTGTTGTTGTGCTTTAGAAGTTTAGCTCATGTGAAAACATGGTGGTGTTTTAGCTCGACAATAAACAACTGTGTCATCAGCATAGAAATGTATGGATGCATCAGGGATGCTCTGACCTACATTACCTATGCAGATTGTAAAGAGGGTGCGTCCTAAGACTGAGCCTTGTCGTACACCATTGTTGACTGTTAAATAACTGGAGGAAGTATCATTATATTGAACACATTGCCTCCGGTCTGAGAGATAGTTAGAGAACCAACCAATGGTGTGTTCTGAGAAACCGATTTCTGAGAGCTTATGACACAAGATGTTATGATCCACGGTGTCAAAAGCTTTAGACAGGTCTAAGAAAAGTGCAGCACAATAATCCTTCGCATCCAGTGCTTCAACAACGTCATTAAGAACCTTCAGTGAAGCAGTGGTTGTGCTGTGTTGTTTCCTGAAACCAGATTGATGGAGAGGTAAGATGTTTAATGAGTCCATGATGTCACACTCGAGTATCTGTTGTGAATGACTCAGCTACTACCACACCAAATGTTAGCTCACTATCTGTAAAACTGACTGAGCTGCATGTTTGTGTCGGCTGATGTTGATTTATTGATTTGGATTGACTTAACAAGCTCTATAGCTAAAAGAAAGGATTACTTCTTGAAAGTGTAATTAAAATCCATCCAGTGGTTTGTGAGATATTTTGCTAACAGACAAGAATGGTTGACTCGGACTCCAACAGCTAATGCCAAAGTTTAGGCAAAGACATTACACAGGGAGTAGCACTCAAGAGTTAGTACCAGCTACTACCACACTAATTTGAAGCTCGATATCTGCAAAACTGCCTGAATTATAGCCTTTTTGTTGTTGTTTGTTTAATAAGTCAATTACCAGATGTTGTGACATCCACATTGAACTGGCTTGGATCCAACTGTAGATGTACATCCAATGATTATTTCCTGAAAGTTTCATTAAAATCTGTTGAGTGGTTCATGAGATATTTTGCCAACACCCACAAACATGAGCAATCCACCTTTGCCTTTTCAATAATTCATAACGTATTAGAAGCATCAAAGCAACGGTTTGCACTTTGCGACTTGATTCAAAGTGATGTTTTGGAAGAATGCTGCTGATACAGCAGATATTTCAGAATATTTTGACCGACATGACTTTGTCAAAGAAAAATTTGAATGTTTAATTTTTCCTTCCATCTTCATAAACTCAAGTGATAGTGGAGGAGGGTTGGGCCTATGAAGAGGATGTCCTGCTGTGCTGGGGTCGTTGCACCTCAGTCATTGTGGCCTTTGACCTTTCACCCCAGCCTTGGTTTTTATTTATTAGAACGATTCCTTCATGTTACATTGCTGCAGTCCAGCAGGATTCACGACCGAGGCGTCGACTGCAGAGGACTTGCTTGATGCAAAAAGCGATTTAATCAGCCGACCTGAGTGTCAACGTCAATATCCGCTAAAGATTTCCTCCTCAGATCATTTCTTTATGCAGCCGCGCCACAAGTCTCTTTATAATCACAACACGAGTTTCAGTGCACTTTTTTTTTTTAGAAGTGCTTCAAATAAAAGCACTTTGCATTAAATATTTTTGTTTTACTCAGCAAATGCCCTTAAAGAAAGTAAAATAAAATTTTAGTTTATTTATAGAAAAAACATCTTTAAAACTTCTAATTTTTACATAAAACTTGTAGTTTTTTAATAATAAAGCAGTGTAGATGCTGTCCACCATAGTTAATTACAAACATCGCATTTTGCTGAAAGTTTTTACTCAGTAAAAATGTTCATCGTTAAGATTTAACCTTATTAAGTTTATTTTATGAACGTTGATGGGCCCTTACCTTGGTAATGTTTGGACATTATAGTGCATGATCTTTCCATGGACAAATAAAAAACAAAAACAAGTGAGGCTGTTTTAAACTGTGAAATTATTTATGGTCAGGATATTTCCAACATACACATCAGTGATAGTTTAACCGTCACCACAGATGCTTTCCAGTGCTTTTATTTACAGAAAAAGTGTCTATACTTCATGTTACTGTACACTTTGATAATTTCCTTTTTTTATAAATACCCATAGGGTAATAGGTCCTCAGTAGCTTTGAGTGCATTATAAAACACACAACCCTAAGTTAATGCATTCATTACTACTCATACAAAACACAATCATTCGTAACAGAAAATAAAAGAAAACATGTTACAGAAAATACATACTTTATATATATCTATATCTATATATAGATACACATGGATATAAAGTCAGAATTGTAGCAGAAAAGCTTGCAACAGAATACGTTTCTTGTCTTGACACACTCAGTCATTAAAACAAATATGTCAGATGAAAACACATGGATGGTCGTCACCTTGCAGGTATCTGGCGTCCCAGGAGGGTTAAGGCAGTACAGCTCGTCTCTGCACAGAGCGGACACCAGCAAACCTGCTGTTACTGGTGCTGCACTGGTGTCAGTATCCACTGACAACACACACGCTCGACTGTTGTTGGAGTGGTGTGTGTGTGTGTGTGTGAACCCTGACAGACGTGTGCATTCCTTAAAACAAAGGCACAGCATGGCAGCAGCATTGCACTCTTCGAATTATTTTTGCTGCACGGTTTGATAATCTGGTTGAGATTTCTATTCCTTCCATCGACAGCTGAAGTCAGATTAACAAACCTCCGCTCAGATTACGTCACAATCTTTACAAAGATTGACACCGTCTGTCAGTTCAGCCTCCTTCTTGTGATTGACAGAGCCGTTGCAGCTGCCGGTGTCCCCAGGCTCGGCGCTCGTGTGAAGATGTCCGAAGCAGAGTTCAAAGAGCTATTTGGCCCAGCCGGTCGTGGCCTCCCCGTTGATGTAGGCGAAGCCGGGAAAATGCTGCGAGTGTTCGTAGTCCGAGTTCCTGCGGGGCCCCAGAGGAGAGTACATATCTCCAGAGGTGGCGTAACGGGACGAGTGCAAAGGTGGGCTGGTGTAACAGCTGTTAGTGGGGGACACATCTGGCCAGCGGGGGGCGACAGGCGTGGGGTGCAACCGAGGAGTGCTGCCCATCAAGCAGGGCTCCATTCGAGACATCTGGCCGTTGAGTTGGTACTGGGGAGGAGAAAGGAAAGAGTAGTTTAAGGTTACATTAATCAACAATTCACTGCTGATTATTAGATCAGACACGTCTTTAATTACAGATTAATTTATAAAGAAAAGCAAAACTTTAAAACTCATTTGATGCTAAATTTAACTTTTTTTTTTTTTTATCTGAACTTAATGTATCCTTCTAAACGTCCTGCCTTAAATCAATTCAGATTTTTTTTAATGAGGTTTTGTGGAAAAGTTATTAACAGTTAATATCTTACCTGTTGTAGATAGCATTTGGAACACCCTCATTTTGGAGAAACATTAATTAGTTCAGACCAGATTAATGAGCTACAGGTAAAATCTGAGTGAGGTCAGAGTTTCTTCTGAACTCTTGCCAACTACTTCTGCACACTTTTGTGTTTTTTAAATATATGAAAACATTTGGCTCAATGAGGAATGGTATGCTCAGAATTTTTTTTTTTACTTTTATGTTTTTTTTTAATTATTTAAGTTTGTGGAGAAAAAAATGTACCCATAGAAAAACATTGGGATCTCTTAAGCTCCTTCAAAAACTCTGTTCCCTGAACTCAGCATCAGTAAACGTGTGATCTTCATATGCCGCTTTTAGCTGTTGCCTTTCTAATTTAAAGTTTTAGCTACTGTCTTACAACTTTTAGCTTAAAGCAAAGGTTTTGCTACATTTAGCTTTTAGCAATTGTTTCTAGTTTTAGCATTTTTGTTTTGCTCATTTTATCTTCTGTTCTGCTTGTTTTAACTCTAACGACTGAGGTAACTATTCATTCTTCATCAAATTTTAGGAGTTTTTGTGCATTTTTGCAAATAATATAACCTTCTGTGTCAAACAGTGTCCATGCGAACCTCTAAGAAACTTTAGAGACTGGAGTTAAGGCAGTAGTGATCCTCTTTGGTCGTGGCTTCAGATTAGCACAAATTAAACTCCATTTCTCCAAAATGAGGTCACTCAAAATATATCTCTATAACAGGTAAGATACTGATTGTTCATAAACTTTTCAATAATCCAACATTAAGAGATCAAACTATCCCTTCAAATTTTAACAATTGTTACACACGTTTTTTTTTTAAAAATCATTAAAGGTGCCAACAATAACCCACATTTCCCCCAAACAGAGGACATAACTTCAGTTGAGAGCAACAGAAAGTCATTTCCTGTCAGGGGAAATTGCCTCAAAAGGAAGTGTCAAAATGGACCAAATCAAAAAAAATAAGCCACTTAAGAAAATTAGGGATTTTATTAAAAACTGTTATTTGCGTTGCCAATGGTGACAGACCATAAACGACACAGATTGTTGACCAAAATACTTTGAACAGATGGGAATCCGGCAGAGTTTTCAGCTCCATGTCCAACCGCTTGCATTCACAAAGTGCAGGCATTGTGCTCCATTTAAGCTCAAATGGGTCTATTTAAGAATAATAATAAAAAGTGGAAGCTCCTTTTTCCCTTTCCTTGCTAAATATAAACAAGACAGTCGATTCTATTATGAGGGCTCATGGAAAAAGACAGTCAGTGCAGAACAGCCTTCTCAGCTGCCTGTTGTTCACAAGCAGAAAAGAGACCATTGAATAACAATATTTTAATAAACACCCCTCTGCCCTGCTGCTGGCTCAAACAGATGAAGAGACCATTGAGAGCTGGAAGGAGGAGTACCCGAGCAGGGCCCCTTCTGGCCCCGGCAGAGCCACCTTTCACCGTCTGCCTCGGCTGATTCAGGGACTTAGAAGCAGCGGCAGCGCCGAGGCCCAGCTGATCTCCTCCCATCAGGCTGGAGCAGCCTCAACAGGAAATTACCACCAAAGAGTGAAATTACACCACGAGTAGTAACATCAGTCACTGAATCGCATCTTCCCCCCCCCCCCCCCCCACACACACACGTTTAACCATGTTTAAATCTTTAGTTCTTAAATTGTTCCTTTAAAAGAACAGTTTAGACACAGAGGCCTTTCGTGCTCTCAGGAACCTGCTTCTGAGTTGCTTTCTCACGTTCCCACATAAAGAACATCAGCGAGTTTTTATTCAAACTGCGGCCGACATGTTGCCACATTTTTGGATCATTTACATATTTCTTTGCTTCTTACAGTAGAAGTATCTAAATACGAACAGCTCTGCAATGTGTAAACAGATAATACATTAAAAAATATATACTGTATTTTTCAGACTACAAGGAGCACTGGATTTTAAGGCGAATTAAGCTAAACTAAAACATTTTGACAGATTTTTGAGTGCCGTGTACCACATAAAATCAGTTCAAGGTCAGTAAGCACAACCAGAATTAATAGAAAAAGGTGCACCGGATTATAAGGCTCTCTGTTGATTTTTGTGAAAAATTTATAAAAGAATTTTAACATCTTGTAGTCCGAAAAATATGGTATACGATATATAATAATCTGTATGCATAACATTAGGAGAGATCACTTTACATTGAGGGCATAACTCACTACTTTTAACACAAATAACTTTAATTTCTATACATTTCCTTTTGTTTTTTGCTACTTTTAATATATTTTGATTCACATCGCTCAGCTGTAACATTTTCCACCTGATGTTTCATTTTATGGTACCTCAGTAAAAATATCTAAACAAAACAACACACTATAAATGCTCCTTTTGAAAGTGAACACTTTGATGAGAACTTTCTAAAGTTTGATTTAAATTCCAGATATAAGATTTGACTTTTCATAAGGTCTGTGCCTTAAAACGTCTCATCTTTCTGTCCATTGTTCTTCTTCCGACATATTTTAAATCACTTTTAAATTCAAAGTTCATCAAGCCTGAACATGTTAACATTTTATCGTCTTTAAGCCTAAGAAAAGTGTTCTGTGAGTATTTTAGTTTATAATAAAACATCACACTTATGACTTAAATCACATTAAAAAGCAAATGTAATTAATTTAAAGCTGTGTTTTAAGCCTAAAAAGTCAACTTGTATTTCTGTTCATCCTAATACCAGTGACCACCAGACTGCGTCAGACTGACCTGTGCAGAGGAGCGGTGATAGGCGGAGTAGTGGAGGGGGGCGGGGATGGCCGGGTCGTGGCCCAGGCTCTGGTACTGGCTCTGAATGGAGTGGGGGTGCTGGTTGGTGTAACTGCCGTAGTTGTAGCTACCGGTGTACCTACAAAACAAACAATCAACCTGAAGGACTTCAAACATTTGGAAACGACCCTGATGGCGTTAATTAAAATTGTCATAATTACCCGTATTCCTCTCTGTACACCGGCATCCTGTGGGTGGAGGACGGGGGAGGGACGGGGGGGCTGCTCCTCATACAGGACAGCTGCTGTCCCGTCTCCGGCGTGGCGCCGCCTGCTGTTGTCACTGTGTATGTAAGGGACCAGGTATATGACTGAACGGCGCCTGGTGAACACAGAAGTAAATGCTGTGGCTACACGGCGTGAAACCTGACGGAGAGCGGAGTTCGTTCATCTGCGAGCGAGTCCGGTCTCACCTGTGGAGGTGGTGACTCCGGTGTACTCCGGGGACAGGGCGGCGGTGGGGGAGCTGGCCGAGGACACGTCCACGGATTGGACGGAGCGTGCGGGAGAGTAGGATCCAGGAGACGGGGAGGTGGGGGTGGTTTCTGTCAGCGTGAACTCCTGCTCTCGCTCCGCTGAAAGAGTCGAGGAACAACAGATGATCAGAGCCACAAAGACCAGACGAGTGTTTGGCCTTAAAGAGACGTTTCTTCTGCAAAGACTGAAACGTTCAGAATGTGAAAAACATTCATGTAAAAATTAATAAATGCTTCAAGAACTTCAAGAGATCAAAGTAAATGACCCAGCTGAGGATCTAACCCCCAAAAAGAGCAGAGTGAAAGTTTTTATCCCTAAACACAAAAACTATAACAGTCCAATCTTTAAAGCTACAAAATAAAAAGATTGATTTTCACAAATATTTTCAGTCCTGATCTTAGTTTTTTCAAAAACTGGACTTCTATTTTGTCCACACAAATAACATAAAATAAAAATAGTTCAAAATGTGCTTAAAGCTGATTAATGCACTCAGAACAAACATCTGCAAATTCTCCACACCATTTAACTTTAAGAAAAAAAAATAAAATTAAAAGACATTACCATGTTTAAACTGTTTTGTTTCATGGACTGAACTAATAGGTTATTATCCTTTTTTCAAAAAAGTTTCCAACGCTCTCATTTTATGATGCAGTTTTGGTTTTTAAACTGTCATTTTTGTTGTTTTAAAATAAAGAAAAGTCACAAATGCTGCTGAAAACATCAACAAATCCAATGACATCCACAACTAAATCAATCATAACATTACAAACAAACCCCAGCATCAAATTAACAGTGATAACTGCAGACTTTTGTTTATAATTTATTCTAGTTTTTTTAGTATTTTGTTATTTTTATCACTTTATTTATCGGTTTATGAATGTGTCAGACGTAAAATGAAGATAAAATGTAATTTAATGTCCAATAAGGTCTTTTGTCCAAGATTATTTGTGACACTGGCACACACAAAAACACAAGATAAAAAGCAGAAAGGATAAAAATAAATCTAAAAAGTCTTCAGGAAAAAGTTTGTCACTTTAAAAAACACATCACCTATTGAAGTAGCTTAATTCACTAGCTGAATTTACAAACGGACAAACTAAACCCGTGTTTAATTCTGTGATTTAGTTTTACAGACTGCAGAAAAACAATAAATTACTTCTATTTTATACAGAAATGGAAACAACACAAATAATTATTCTAATCAAGGATTCCTGCTACTTTCAGGCCGTTAAACTGAAGACATTTTAAAAACCATTAGGATTCAAATTTAATACATACATGAATTATGAAGACAATGTTGAGTTATTGTAAAATCTCTTCCAAAGTAAAATGCAATGCCTCTTTTCAAATTCAATCAAAATCATTAAAAAATATATAAAATAAAATACAACAAATCTGTTTCAGGAGCAAAGCAACCAGATTTTTTCACAAGTCGATAAACAAATACATCCCATCACACATGGGAGTTGTGGTGTTTTTTTGGTTTTTACAGAGTACCAGTAATGAGATTTAAAATCCTCTAGAACTACAGAGTGACAGAATGCCAACAGCATGTTAAAAATAAAAAAAGTTAATTGAAGAAGCAAAGAATGAACGAGTGTGCCCAAATCTGGACATATTTGAGACTGCCCCCGCGATCCGACTCCGGATCGAGCGGAAGATAATCGAGGGATAGATTTGAACTTATTATGGCCTAAAACTGTAGATTATTGCAGGTGCTGGTCATAAAATTAGAATATCATGAAAAAGTTGATTTATTTCAGTAATTCCATTCAAAAAGTGAAACTTGTATATTATATTCATTCATTACACACAGACTGATATATTTCAAATGTTTATTTCTTTTAATGATGATTATTATAACTGACAACTAATGAAAACCCCAAATTCAGTATCTCGGAAAATTAGAATATTGTGAAAAGGTTCAATATTGAAGAAACCTGGTGTCACACTCTAATCAGCTAATGAACTCCAAACACTTGCAAAGGCCTTTAAATGGTCTCTCAGTCTAGTTCTGTAGGCTACACAATCATGGGAAAGACTGCTGACTTGACAGTTGTCCAAAAGACGACCACTGACACCTTGCATAAGGAGGTCAAGACACAAAAGGTCATTGCTAAAGAGGCTGGCTGTTCACAGAGCTCTGTGTCCAAGCACATTAATAGAGAGGTGAAGGAAAGGAAACGATGTGGTAGAACAAAAAGTGTACAAGCAATAGGATAACTGCACCCTGGAGAGGATGGTGAAACAAAACCCATTCCAAAATGTGGGGGAGATTCACAAAGAGTTGACTGCAGCTGGAGTCAGTGCTTCAAGAACCACTACGCACAGACGTATGCAAGACATGGGTTTCAGCTGTCACATTCCTTGTGTCAAGCCACTCTTGAACAAGAGACAGAGTCAGAAGCGTCTCTCCTGGGACTGCTGCTGAGTGGTCCAAAGTTATGTTCTCTGATGAAAGTAAATTTTGCATTTTCTTTGGAAATCAAGATCCCAGAGTCTGGAAGAAGAGAGGAGAGGCACAGAATCCATGTTGCTTGAGGTCCAGTGTCAAGTTTCAACAGTCAGTGATGGTTTGGGGTGCCATGTCATCTGTTGGTGTTGGTCCACTGTGTTTTCTGAAGTCCAAGGTCAATGCAGCCGTCTACCAGGAAGTTTTAGAGCATGTCATGCTTCCTGCTGCTGACCAACTTTATGGAGATGCAGATTTCATTTTCCAACAGGACTTGGCACCTGCACACAGTCACAAAGCTACCAGTACCTGGTTTAAGGACCATGATATCCCTGTTCTTAATTTGCCAGCAAACTCACCTGACCTGAACCCCATAGAAAATCTATAAGGTATTGTGAAGAGGAAGATGTGATACACCAGACCCAACAATTCAGAAGAGCTGAAGGTCACTATCAGAGCAACCTGGGCTCTCATAACACCTGAGCAGTGACACAGACTGATCGGCTCCATGCCACACTGCATTACTGCAGTAATCCAGGTGAAAGGAACCCCGACTAAGTATTGAGTGCTGCACAAGCTCATACTGTTCATGTTCATACTTTTCAGTTGGCCGACATTTCTAAAAACCCTTTTTTTATTGGTCTTAAGTAATATTCTAATTTTCTGAGATACTGAATTTGGGGTTTTCATTAATTGTCAGTTATAATCATCATTAAAAGAAATAAGCATTTGAAATATATCAGTCTGTGTGTAATGAATGAATATAATTTACAAGTTTCACTTTTTGAATGGAATTACTGACATAAATCAACTTTTTCATGATATTCTAATTTTATGACCAGCACCTGTACATTCAAAGCTTTCATGACCTACGTAGGACCCTGCACAAACCCTGGTATTTTAGTATGAAAGCAGTTACATTTTTGAAGGAACCAGGTCACTTGAAGGATCAGCCTGCAGCTGCTGCCTCACCTGGACTTCCTTCGCCCTTCATGGCCTTCATGAGGTCGTTGGCTCGCTCCTGGAAGTGGAGCGACTCCAACAGGTAGAGCACGTAGTCATCAAACATGAGGTGAATCAGGTGGAAAGACCCTGCACACACACAGACCGCACACATGTGGTATTTGATCAATTAAAACAAACATCTAAATACTCTGTCCAGTGGTTCATGATATTTTGCTAACAGACAGCCACACTTGCAATCAAATACATAGTTACCCACTTTACATAGCAGAAAGAGACATAAAAAAAGAGGAAACAAAGCAGATTTGTGAATGATGACATCACGTCCTGCGTGTGTGTTCGTTTCCATGCACCGACTCACAGCCAGAAATAAGTCCGTTGACCCCCGGGGGTCACAGGAAAGTTGAGGCTGAGGCATGCAGGGAAGCGTCATCACAACTGTGTCATTGTGCCGCTCGCTGTCCTCGCCGTGTGCATAATAAAAACACTTGTGGCTATTCAGGGGAGCAGGGTGCAATACTGACCGCTCATAAAATGGAAAAAAAAAAAAAGACAAACACGTCGGGAGGTGGGGAGGGGCGGCTTTTGTTAATTAGCTGTTTGTGCTTTATGAAAACACTGCTACCAGCTGTGGCTTTGATATTCAAAAACAGGCCAAAGGACAAGAGTAGAAAGAGAATCTATTTTCTTTTATTTCATGTTTACTGCTCTACACTCACTGCAAACTTGTTACAGCAGCAGCCATGTTACTTTCTCCTCCTTCCTCCCCCAGCATCATGCTGTGGAGAAACTTGAACTGATTCAAATTATTCCAGGGATAATATGGATCACAGAATCTTTCATTTATAGTCAAAGTAATTTAGTCTATCGTTGCTGTTTCACTGCTGGTGAATTTACCTGGCAGGAGGACTTTTCCTTTTTCAATAATTTCAATAAATGATTTAAATGTCTGAAATTCAACAGCAGAATTTTTGGATTAATCCAAGTCCCTCTTTTATTGACAGCTGCATGTGCAAGAAGCATTAATTACAGGTAGTAGTAGTAGAAGTAGTAGCAGTAATAATAGTAGTAGTAGGATTCATAGTAATATTAATAATAGTGTAGTACGATTCATAGTAATATTAATAATAGTAGTAGTAGCTGTTACAATATTAGGAGACATAGCAATAGTTGTAGTAGTGATTGTAATAGTAGCAGTCATATTATTATTATTATTATTAGTAGTAGTAGTAGTAGTAGTAGTAGTTATAGTGGTGGTAGTAGTAGGAATAATAGTAGCAGTAGTAGGATTCATAGTAATAGTAGTAGTAGGAATAATAGAAATAGCAACTGTAATAATATTACTATTACTATGATTATTATCATCATCATCATCATCATCATCATCATCAGTAGTAGTAGTAGTAGTAGTAATAATAATAGTAGTATTAATAGCAGTAATTGCAGTAGTAGTTGTTGTAATCATAGTATTAGTCGTCGTCGTAGTAGTAGTAATGTAGTAGTAGTAATCCTAGTACTAATAGTCATAGTAGTAGTAGTAGTAGTAGTAGTAGTGGTAATAGTAGTATTAGCAGATATAGTGGTAGTAGTACCAGTAATAGTAGTAGTAGTAAAAGAAATCAAAGTAGTTATCTTAATACTACAGCAGTCCCTCGCTACTTCGCGGTTCATTTTTTGCAGATTTGATCCATCACGGTTTTTCAAAATAAGATTGGACACGACAGACAATTGAATGATTGATGGATGAGCCACACGATTGCCATGGAATTTTTATTTAAAATAAATTATTTTAAATTATTTAGCACC